CTCAGTATCCGTTTCACAGTCGTCCGTCGACAACACGACTTGACCGAACACGGGTTTTCTTTTTATTACCTTACCACAGTTTTTATGATCGTCATAAAACTAACTTTTTTTCGTTCATACATAACTACACCATATATTGCCGTTACCGACGAGAAACGCGTGCTGGCCGACACGTGGGCGAGTAGTATACTATCATATAATTATTATCAAATATCAACCGAAGGATTTTTAATAAAAAAAAAATTACCCAGCGAAGGATATACGACGACAGTATCACAAAAAACGATGGACAACACCAGACCGGATTACATTGTATATTTTATTATGTTGCTGACCAGAGAGCGGTACAACCACTTGAACTCACTAAAGCGATGCTCAGAATCTGTGATAGCCCGTATTGGAAGTAAAAGAGAAAGAATAACTTAATTATAAAAAAAACCCACATTTGCAAGAGAAATTAAAAAAAAAAGCAATGATATTATGCAAACCGTTTGATGTCCACTTGATAACATTTGGAACGATGAGGCTGAAACGCTATTACATATTATGTGAGTACTTGTAGTGAAAATTATATTAATTATCATCACATAATAATATTATATTTCCCGTTCACGTTATAATGAATAAGTCGTACAGGTCTTGGTGATTATATAAATATGTTTACTTGCGATAACAAGATGTCTTGCGTCTCGCTTCACGTGTTATGTCTTCGCAAGGTCAACTCTAATACCGTCAAATTTAATTTGTAGATATTCTCTTGAATTTACTGCTGGCTTTCAATGTGATTTATCCGTGTATTCGTAATTTGAGAAGAGTTATTTTTTTCATAATTAAAATAGTACAATAAAAAACCACCACTACTAGTACTTCTAGGTTTTATAAAAAATATGTTCTACCTTATTTCTTTAAAAAATACATGATACACATAACTATTGGAGTAACATCTAAAGTCTAAGGCATCGGGGCCTAAATGAAATGTAAAAATATGTATTATGTGAAATTAATATCGAGCCAAAACATTCAAGGAGTTTTTTAGATTGTTTGTCGTAAAATTATAATACGTCATAGCTAAATCTTGGAATACATTGGAAATGCTTATTTAAAATACATTTAACGTGCAAACGAAACTTAAATAATCCACTAATTTATTCTAATTGAATGCATTTGATTAAAGGTCGTTTTGTATCGTACACAGTTTTAAATACGACCACGAGCTTGGCTCATCGGCTTATCGCTTCTCTGTAAACGCTATTATGCATAGTTATATAATAATTTATTTTATTTTGTTTATTTATTCGTAACCAATTAAAGATATTAAATGCACTTATACTGCAATATCGTGTACGCTATTTGTGCTATAGTCTGTAATTCTCTAGAACTGTATTCTGAAGGTCCAATTCACGACTGTTATAGCTAACATCAAACGTTAAAATTAAATTTTCGGTGTTTCTAATAGTTTTTGAATGGCGATCAAAACAAATAAAACGATCTCATGGCAAACTTTTGTGGCAATTAACCCCGACCAGACGACAAGGCCAAGTCTTCACGTTGATCATTAATGTCCAACATTTTAACGATGGACCTGTACTAGCCACGAAAATGATTTGTACATTTGTCGATTTCCATGTGTACCTTTACTGAGCACCGGGTGAATTAACAAAACCCCAGAAAATAGTAAAAAAAAAACCCGACGAGACAGGGTAATCGAACCCTTGGCTGGTGGTCTGGACTGACATGAAAAGAGACATACAAATACGAGACAGTCAAACGAGTAATGGGAATTTTTAAGTGGCTTAGAAGAAAAAAAGAGCAGTGTAATTTCACTACAGCCGTACAATAAACTCGTGGTATTTGTATAATGACATAAGAGCACACGACCATTAGTTTTACACACACGTGCACGACGTGTGGAATTTTACCATTCCTGACAGCTTAAGATACAATGTTTTCATTTTGTACAAATTTAGCGACCATACAAGACGGTGGTTGATTTGGAGGTACGCCAATTGACCGTGCGTAGTTAATGTTCACTGTACATACAATTAAGCCTAATGGTACGTCAGGTCTTGTAAATAATTTTTTAAAACTATATTAAAAACAATCAAGGCAAATGAGCAGCGTTTGTAATATCGATTGGTTTCTTTGGCAAAGTCGTTAAAGCTCCAAAAGGTTTTCGGTTTTTTTTCGTAAAATGTTAACTAATTGTTTTAAACAAGTAGCATAGGTAGATAATTTCACGGAATCTATAACCAAAGGTAAATCCTATATTTTTAACCATTAATCTAGCATATAAATCACAGTCTGGAAGTCAGGGCACCAGAAGTTTCGGAAAATGTCAAATGATAGAGTATAATATTTAGACATCCATAAAAGATTTGAATTCTTAATAAAGTCGTTGAAACTATAATTTCTTTTTTTTTGCCCTTTTATATCGAACTCCAAACGTATTAGAACTATAACAATCCTCAAGCAAGAATTAATGACCAAGACTCTCATAATAACAACAGGTAGTTCTGAAAAGAGCTTTGAATCAATTCTTATCACCATCTACGTGGTTTAGAATATAGTTTAACAGTATTGATTCTAAGTCCATTCAACTTTAAATTACCCGCTATTGAAAATTAAAAACTTGACTAATTATAAAAGTAAAACGTTTATGTGAAATTACAAACCAGTATATAATAATGATTATACCTCGCTCGTTGATTACAACAAAAATGTCGATCAATTATCATAATTGTAAACGGGTTTTGAAAACATGAACATTGTTTTAATGTTTTTTATGTTTATATGGAAAAAAGAACTACATTCTTAGTAAGACTACTATTCTTATCTCATAGAACCAGAGATTATTGAAGATTAAAGCTTTATAGCTAAACAACGTCGGCTGGCAACATTTGAAGATGATATGACTTTTTAAAAATAGTCGAACTTTCTTGAATATTTTATGTTTCTATAAGAAGGACAGGTGAAATTAAATGTTTAAAAGGAAGAACAAATGAAATGTCGACGTGTCAAAAGACGGTATACGATTGTTCATTATTCAAAATTGTGACTTTCGAGATGTGTAAAAAACAAACTATTCTGCTTACATTTTAAAATTTGTTTAAATATGCATGCAAGTAAAAATATGCGAAAGTCCGGACTATTTACAATTATTATGTTTTTTTTGACAAAACGAGAACTGCTAAGAACGTACAGTTGTGATTTTTTGAGTTAAACGTTGAAACGTGGAAGTTGATTTCTAATTAAGAAGAACTCATTCTATTCGTGTTTGCTCATCAAGTTTATTATTATAATTATATTGTCTAGCGTCAAAACTAAAGATGTGAATTCTACGATTGACCTTGTGTTTAGGACGTCTCGGTGAAAACAAAATTGCATTGTTAACGTTTCCTTTAGTTTGTTTTTATTTTTGTTATACTTTTTTTGAAATAATGCTATCTAATTTACAGCTATAAAAAAAACTGTATTAATTGTTAATCGCCACATGCGTGTCAGGTTAATTGATGGACCCATACAAGTAGCTTTACAGTTGTATAATTATATCGGTTTTTATCGAGTATTTTTTTTTTTTTTTAATTTTCTATTGGGTGAACGACCGTCGAGTACGAGTTCGGAGCTAATCATAAATCTTCCAGACAACAGCCAGACACGACCGGCTCTGAATCATCAAATCTGTCAAGCGCGTGCGCACACCTTTTACTGCTATATATTATTATTATACTTATATCATATTTCGCTTCTCGATTGTTTTTTTATGTCCTTATGCGTGCGCGAAAAATACATACAACTGTGCCAGCGCAAACGTCAACCATATGATGTATTAATAGTCACGCTAAAGCCTTAACACGTGTCACCTTGTTAATAATTGAATACACTTGCACATTTTTTGTATAATTAAATTAAATTGTAAAGAAATGTCGCCAACGACATATTTATAGTGTAGTAAGAGTGTAGGCGATGGATATCCTGACTACCTTAGAAGGACGTTGGCGATCGCATCATTGCATGCGATTTTGTTTAATCAAGATGCATCTAGACGTGGATATAAATTGTTGAAATTAAACACCTAAGAATTGGCAAGAAAATAAACAACAACATTTATCATTTCCTTGATAAATTTAAATCGTTAAAAAACTGCACTCGCTACAATTCTCGAGAATAGTAGCGCCAAAATTTGTTTTTAAGTTGGCCGGCTGTCCACTAGCTTTGACCTATTGACCTCTTTGGCTATGATGAATTTAATAATCAACTATAAAAAAAACTTCAGGGCGCAATCGTAAAGACAATAACCAATAACCACTATTCGATTTTTTAAGTATAATTGTTGGCAAAAAAGTCTTTGGGCAAACCAAACCGAGCCATCGCTTTTATATCCCCCATCTATTATATCTATTTATCCATCCACCAATATTGACTAGAGACTAGAAACTTACTTTTGATTTTAATAGGATATTAATAAAACAAAACAGGATCGAGTAAATGGTATTCTGTTGCTGAAGGTAGAAAAGTATAACGCTAAAACCGCCGTTTGTGGCAAATTTCTTTCTTTGGAACGCGTTTTGGTTTTTGATTTCGAGCCAATCCAGACTAATTAACGTGTTGAGCTCACATTCAAATGTAGTGAAAATATACACTTATTTCTTTTATTGCCAGCAAGTGTTCGACAAAAAAAAACACAAATCAATTAAATATGCAAATACACAAGGAAATTGTACGGGCCACGTGCCGTGCACGAGGTAAAACTCAATGTTATAATAATTTAATAATATCTTAATAGTTCGGTCGTTGGTTGTTTTTTTTTTAATGTTTGTTATAATATGTCATTGCGAGTATTTGGAAAATATTCCCGGTGGACTTACGGACTTTGACCGTGACTAACCTAATAAAACCGTGATCAACTCAATTAAATATACATCAAACTACACACGAAGGATTCGGGAATTCGACCTGGTATTGTAATTTTTCTGGTTTTTTTTTTTTGTTTTTTTTTTTACTTTTGACGGCGGTGAATGTGAATGCGATCCGTCGACGTTGGCCATCGTGTTATTTGAACGGCGAATAGTACTGCAAAAGCGTCTTGAGACTTTGCCACCGGCTCAGCTGAACACACGCGAACTCCTATTCAAAACTATGGCGACGACTAACCGATGACAAACCCTAAGTGTTTGGGGCCACCTGGTGCCATGCCAGCTCAATCGTCCCGAAGAACACCTACCGCAATCACCTCCGGTCTTTAAACGACAGTATGGCACTGTAACAAAGCGAGAATAGTCGAAAAGAATTCTTGGGGGGAGGGAGGACTTCATAAATGAAGATCATGTGAAATTCATTTTTAGTGATATTCATAGATACAATTGTGCATTAAAGTGAAAAATAAAATTGTGCAAATAAATTGGTTAATTCCACGAGCAAAAATTGAAAAGATACGGAGAGTATTGTAAAAAATGATCACAATAGTCTACAGAAAATAAAAACTTGACAATTTATTCACTTGAAGTAACAGATAGTAAGATTGGTACAAGTGTTAGACCCAAGGCCAAGATATATTAAAATATTATGTAGAAAATACAAAAAAAAAAAATGTTTATAAATAATTTCCTTATAGACGTCATTTTCATTTTCCTTTACTCTTATACTGATATTCCATCCCTAATTTCTTTGGCTATCCTTAATAATTATTCTAGGCTCATTTTTTATTAAATGATTTTCTTAGTCGCTGTTTTTATTTTGGTTTCATTAAAAATGGTATTAACAATTTGTTATTATGACTTTACCTTTATCTTCTTGTTTAAATTCTTAAAACTTCTTGAGCCAAGATATTGTAAACATTTAAATATAATATAGTTGTAAAAAAGATAGTGTACACAAATGAGAAAAGCTCGAAATGTTTATTTTCCACAAAGCAAAAAAGTATTTTCCAAAGATGTTATCGAAACGCGTGAAAAAAATTAATTAATATAGCAATCAATATTTTCAATATATATAAAAACATAATATTTTTATTCGAAGGTTTAAAAATGCCATGCGTAATAAACGCAACTAATGTCCCCTACATTTCAATTTTTTCGGTTTTTTCAAAATGTTTTTAAAAATTCCTAGATATGTACTCACAGGTATGGCCTAACTAATGATAGTGTCAACATTTTGGCACGGTCATCATTGCATTAGTCGTATGCAAATTAATCAAATTTTATTTACTAAATTTCAAATTAACAGTATATAAGTTATAACACAAAAGTCGATTCTGAAGAAAACTATTTTGATAATTTTATTTTGTACAGTCTTCGTGTGGACCATAACCTACACACATCAGTTATCAATGTTATACAGACTTGTCAAAAAAATACCACATGGCGCCAGAGTCGACGTTAAGGTCAGACCTGATTTTAGAATTCACCTAGTTGCGCTGTATAATATCGTTATGTGTAACTATAATATATTATTATATAAAGGTTGAGGTCGGTACATTTTTGGTATTGCTGGTGCCACATTTTGTACACTATCTCGTCTGGTCAAGGACCTGATACAAAACTTTGAATTATTACCAGAAGAAAGCAACATTTTCAATCAGCCAGCATCGATCATGCTCCATTAGTTTTCATGCAACTCACGCGTTCAACGAGTACTTTTAAAAAACAATTTTTTCGACCTGTTTTGCTTTCACGTGAGTGCTGTTGGCCATGTAATCCGATAGCATATATAGTCAATCATTGTAGTTTTTTTCTCTTCTCAATTTAATAAATAGTATAATTTGTTTATTGAATAATTCATAAAGCAAATGTTTAACTCACGAGTATCGTATTATAATGATTATAATAAATTCTAGTTTCAACTAATGACATTTTTGTTGGTTCAGAAATATTTGTATAAATATATTATATTATGTTATTCTGAAGAATACAATTTCTCGTACGAAAATTCCGTAAAAAAATCTGGCAATTCTTTACACCGTACCAATATGTTATTATTATTATTATTATTAATATATATTGTACCAAACAAGTCGTTAAATTATTCGCTTTATTATTTAATTCATTGCTGACGTAGGGACGACCTTGTGAGCGATACGAATGAGTTATTAGTTCAGCCAACCAATTTTTATTACACCGTTTATGCACATTATACGCCACACGATGATGTTTTGCGACCACGTCATAATAAAATAATAATGTATAATTATAACTTATTAAAAAAAATCAAGTGCCTCATGCGCCATCAACACAACAATTATCATAGAGTCCATCGAAAACGTGTGCTCGAATAAGAAACCGACACAGATACGGAAGTCCCATTTCAACAATAATGAAAGACAAAATTGATTAAATTACTTAACATTTTAATTAACTATACAAAAAATATGTATTTATTCTATTTTGTATATTTGTTTTAAAATATAAGGGCTCACACGTTGTTTGTTTTGTGTTGTCCTCTGAACCAATTTGTTTGTATCTCTTAAAAAAGCGACCGATAAACGTTTAGTGGAATAGTCAGTCAATAACAATGTTTTAACAGTAGCAATAGTAGTACTAATACAAAAACGAGTGATAAGCAGGTTTAATTAACATAGTATCTAGTATAGTCTCATATCGATTAATCGTCGACGAGATAACATTTCAGATGCCCGGCCGATATATTTATATTACCATTATGCACTCCTACATGTGTAGATATTTTGTTACACTTTAAATGATCTTAATGTAAAGCTTATGCAAAACACATTTGACCGAGGCTGACAGAACGCATGTCTATTGTGGTTATAACTTGTTTTGATATTTAAACATTATACAAATAGTTTTTGAAGTTATCAATGTACAATACAGGTACAATAATCAGTCGAAAATAAATCTGTCGATAAAGAAATTAATTACAATGAAACAATTTTAATGATTATGCTGCCAACAATGATTTTAAAATTATTTCGTAAAATCTTAAATAAAATATTTATGGCTGAACTACTGTGTGGAAAACATATTAACTGAATAAAATGTATTAAAAAGATATATACTCGTATATATATATAACGTTTATAAAATATTATTACTCGATTACTTTCTCTCAAACGTTTGAAGTTTATTATCATTTTCCAATTGCAAAGTAGAGAAACGGTTACAATCAGCCGTTCCTTCACTAAATTGCTTATTAAATTAAAATGATAATTATTAATTACAGACTTTTGAGTGTACTTAACAACTTCTGAAATTACACCCGTGGCACACGAGTTTAAAGTAATTTTTTAAGTAAAATTTAAACTCCCATGACTTCGGTCTGTCCATGGCCCCACAAAACCTTGGGCCGACACTATGTCTGTTTCTGACCCTATCCGCGATGACAGCCGAATTGATTGAGCAGTCAGCGATTGATTGTTTAATTTTTTTATTATGCGCTTTTTGTTTTTTCATATGTACATCTATGAATTGAGTGACGAAAACATTACAACGGCGTTTAATTACAAGAAAAACAACATCAATTGTTTTCTTCCGACAATGTCTATTGCTATTCAAAATTATTAAACATTCAATAAATCATTTATGTTCAATAAAAACTAGTTGTAACGAGCGCACACAAATCGGAATTGATCATTTCTAACGTTAGACAGTTTTTTTTTTAAGGAAGTTTTAGTTGAAGTTCATTAAAAAACTGCATGTTATACACTATAAAAAAATGTGATTTCAATACTATTATATGAATTACTAACAACCGAGATTGGTGCCAAGATATACAGGTCATGAGTGTCAGAAATATGGTTGAAAAACATATAAACTGTGCAAACTAATTTACGGAATTTTCATGCAGTCCGTATGCCCAAATCAACTATCAACACAAAAATAATAAGGTATTTTTAAAAGCCCTATCTTAGCAGGAAATCAATGATTAATATTATAACGTTTTCTGTTAACAAATTGTATTTATTGAGGAATATTTCCAAGACATTTGGGGTATTCATATTTGATTTTTTAAATACATTGTTGCTTTGTGGATATACATATATGAATTATACGGTAGCAGGTTTTTTTTTTAAAAGAATTTACATATTTATAAGTAGTGCGGTAGTGAGGGAATTCAGAATTAAAACATAATAGGAAATCCACATATAACACCACAATAATAATAGTAATAACTATAAGGTATACTATGTGTTAATACATATTTTATGATATAATACAATCCCTGTTAATACAATTCAATAAATCAGTTTTATCATATAGTTGCTCACGGAGCAATAATGTATTTAATTTGTTTTATTGTTTATATATAAATATTATAATTGTAATATTGCCAACAAATAATATGTATTGTCGTCGGGCGTCGGCTGTAATTTTTATTTCAATAAAGGCAAATATTTCAAAAAATATTTGCGTTTCAATACAACTTTCTAAAATATTACAAATAAAATAATTGTATAATTTACACACTGAAATTAATTTCAAAACCAAACATTAAGAAAATATTTGTATATATTCCTATGTCTGAGACTATACGAGATAGTTAAACGGTATATTTATTAATAGCATACATATATATATATATATATATATATATGTTTTGTACATTATATAATAATTAGTGAGTTAAATATTTTTACCACAATCATATATCATAATGTAATCTTAGTAATTATGTCCTATTTTTATTACACTTAATAATATATGTATAGTTTCGCCGTGTTGACAAATAATACAAATTGTATTTTTGACATTTGGCCAATTCCGATTGTATTTTCATCATAAACAATCGTTAATTTGTAATCACCGTCAATTTATCATCATTGTTCGAAGTGATGTGTACACACAAGTTTATCATCACAGTAATATATCATATGATAATTTTGTCGACGACAGTTTGAGAAAATACACTGACCAACTTGTCGGTTAAACATTTCGATATAACAAACAGGAGACGGAAAGCGAAAGTCGAGGAAAATAAAGTAAGTAGCAAAAAAAAAACATTTTCTTTCTCGCATTTTTTTCATGTGTTAACGGCTATCAAAAAAAGGCTATGTAGCTAAATGTACGTATATAGAATACATCCCCACTCAGCAATAAACGTTTTGAATGAAATTAAAATTTAAAAACTGCAAGAACTACATAAATAAATGCATCGTTGTTTAGAAATTTATTTCTTTTTTTAAACAATTACCTATACGTCTCTTAGAATAGTCGTTTGTCGGTAATTAAAACAAATTAACGCATATGTGCCAGATAGACACTTTGGAGTTATGTAACTAAACGTTTATCCAGACAACGTGCATATCACTTGGGGTGGAGAGGGAGAGACCTCGCTAGTATTTGTCGCCAAAGAAATTTAATTGATAAAAAACAAACCAAACGTACACGAAATTCAGGCGTATTACACGTTTATGAACCTGATCTACCTTTTCATAATATGTGTTACGCCTTATTATACTCGGTTCGACAAACCGCAATAACAGCCGTCGAACAAAGCTAGTCCAGTTTAAGTTCAAAATTTTAATTTTCAAAAATATTATTTTACCGGATGCAGAACCGGAAGCATATGAGATATGTTTGAAAAATACATCATTAAACTTATAGAGCAATTGCAATATTTAGGAAATATTCGTGTAATGAACGTTTGATTTACAACTAAAATGTGATTTTAAAAGAAATTTTCGCTGTATGAAAACATAATATTTTTTCAATTTATTTATCACTACGTGGCAATCTCTATGTGTTGCACAATCTCTTTGACATTTAAAAACTAAAAGATAATTTTAAAAATCTTAGTGGGTGTACCTGAATGTTCATTTTTCTTGCAAAAAATTAATTCATGCTGAACCAAATGTTCTTTGTACAATTAACGAAATATCGTTATCTTATCGGTCAATAAACAATAGCCTTTGTTCAAATTTTTTTTCGATGCATTAATGCAGTATAGCCTTGACTGGCTGCACTCGAATGGCTCGAAAAAAAACTGCAAACGAGTTATGCTAGAAGTTCTATCAATCCGTAATAAACCACAACCTATTAACTTATTATGTAAAAAATAGGTAACATGTCTAAGACATCATTAGGTCACTGTTCTACCTTATTAATTTATTTGACTTCTTAACGGCAGATAAAAATAGTGCTGGACAGTTGTGAGTACATGTTTACTACTGGCCATAAATAGTAGCAGCGAATCATGAACAAATAATAAACTCATTAACATAACATTTTAAACATGTGCTAAGTACACAGGGTTTATGGGGACCGAGTCTTTTAAAACCAAGTGCATCCACTTGTTTGTTTTTTACTCACAGAAACCATTACAAACACCACTTACAAAATTACCACACTAAGAGTACTTAACAAAATAAGTACAACTATACATAGGCTACAACCGGATAATATAATAATAATATTATTGATTAAACATTATTGATGGGAAATTCCCAAATCACATCTGTTAAACTGGAAAATTATGAAATAATAACGAGTTTATGTAACGCCTGATGTGTTTTCAGCTTGAATCGCATAATATGGAAATTACATGTATCATGAAGATACACGAGACATCACACTGGAGTATCCAAAAAAAAAATAATTCCCTTCATCATATTATTTACATTTTTACATTATTTATGAAATGGATTTGATTCCAGAAAATGATTAATAGCCGAATGTCTAAACGTATGTATTATGCATGGAAAATTAATTCGTAGAAACAAAAAACTGACAGATCAGTATTTTTTAAATAATTTGTTAAGGTTTGGTTTAGTAATTATATTTTACCTATGTAATCTCATGTTACTCGATAACATATTTTTTCTTGTGTAATTTAAAATGTGAAATTCGGTCTAACCTTATCCAAGCTAATGTTTATCTCTACATTTTAAGTAGCAAATACAAAATGACATTATTTTTAGTGTATTTAAATATTGGCAGCCAATAATAATTTGCACAGACTAAATATTCATGTAAATATAATATAAATCTCAGACCTCAACGGTCCGTTTACACGTTGAGTTGAACTGTATGAGCAAATTGTATGTACTTTGGTTCGCACAAACGAACTGTACGTGTAAATAAAAACTAAACAGTTGAAAAATTTGAACTGCGTGAGTTCGGGCGGCGCCTGAAAAATTGTACAACCGCACAGTTTTCAAAGCGTGTAACTGGATATTATCGGTTTAGAATTAGAACAGAGCATAAAAGAAAAAGTAAAAAATGAACGTGTAAATCCTAAATAATTTACTCAGTTCATTTGCACAAACGGACTGCACGAAAATACCGTTAATTAGTTTTTTGTACAGTTTAACTTAACGCGTAAACTCACCTTTACATAAAGATTAATTATCGCGACGACGCGATAACCGGTAGTTTTCTGCACGCCGGCGATGATAGAGTGTAAGTGCAAGACGGGTTTTCAAGTTGCCCAGGTTGTTAATCGCAAGCAATGTTTACTAAACATGTTGTCACCGCAAAACGTGTATTGAGGTCACATACACACAGACCGTGTCTGGTCCAGTGTTCGGTAAAAATGTCTAAAATTATTTTTTTCACAAATTATACATATATATTCTGATTTAATTTGTTTTCGTTTGATTTACATAACATTTTGTTAGTGTTCAAGTAGAATTTGATACTAGATACTGGCGCATGATTAATATATATATATATATATACTATAATAATATGTATAGGGTTTGGACTTAGCCCTTAGGTTATTAAACGTAAACAATTAAGAAAATAATTACAATTTTATAGGTTTTCTTTTTAAAGAACATTTCTATTATGTGTTTTACAATATTATACAATTACCCAATATTTACATTTGTTGGTATTCCCCAGAGTGTTATAAACTTTTGAAACTTTGGGAAATAGAAACGTGTATGTTTAACTTTTTTTAAATTAGAATACATTTCTAAAAATGTTAACTGGTCGATAACCAGTTTTGAATAGTTATTTTTAAAATTTAAAACCAGAACTGAAGAGTGATTAAGTGCAGATAAAATAATACTTCACTCCACCCTTATATGTGGATCTATAAATAAACTTAACTAGGTGTTATAGTCCGTCATTTCGTTATTTTTTATACCTAGTCAATAAAAATATCTAGAAGTGAGAATTCTGAAAACATTATTTTAATTTTTGCCGTTACTCGTTATGGTAATTTGTATGATTGCTACGATTTGTGTATTAATCTAGAAACTTATCAAATATTTAAAAATTCTTGCATATTTAGGTACTTGGACATATTTTACTCTGTTCATTTTTTACTTAGACTCTTTCGATCCTTGTCAAAGGTCGCTGTACTCGCTGTCACGTCAACCTTTTGACGGGTCTTCCCTCGGGTCGGGATGTGATATCTCGAGGGTTTTTTTTCATCGTTATTACACGTGCAAAATTGGTACTATTTATAATTACAATTAATTACACACAAAACTTGTTTTCGCTCGCATATGCAAATCGCCGCCGCCCTAAGCTGTCTGCCCGTGAACAGGTTGACGCGTAGGTATTATTATTATTCATATTTTTTTAACAGTTTTTTTTTAATGTTCTCAGCCGCAGAAATTCCGCCGACGCCAAGAGCAAACGGGGGAAACCTAGGTCGGACGCGACGCGACGCGCGTGAACGCCGCCTGGTGCAAGTCACGTAGGCCACGTCGACGGCGGCCTATATATAAGCGCAGCAGGGCCGATCATCAGTCCTTTCCACGCCGACCGGCTGTAACGTTCGGACGCAGTGCATCAGTGTCAGTGTCAGCGTGTGTGTGTGTTTCAGTGTATAACCGTCTTCGCGTCAAAATATATGTGCGGCACGGCCAACCAGATGCCCGGGTACGGCGGCGACGTCGTCGCCCCCCAAAGGGTCGACACGGTCGCGTACCAGTACCTGCAGGCCAAAGAGCTGCCGGCGGCGACGGCCACCGCCGAACTCATCCAACATTTCAGCCGTCGCGCCAGCGAACTGGACACCGCAGGTGTTCAAAAGCCCGATGACGTGCTCACCGCCGTCACTGCAGCCTCCAAGAAAGCGTTCGACCGGTGCTCAGAGTTAGTGAGCAGCTTACAGAAGTCGTCCGTTTACAAGTGAGTTATACGCGAAAAGCGATAATAATTATTGTTTTCCCTAACTATTGATATATTTTATAGATTGTTGTAATTTAAAACTATATCGGTAATTATTTATTTACAAAATATATTATCCATCATATTTTTTAAGTAAACACTCTGTCCCACAAGACTTTAAAATTAGAACAATCCTGCTTACTATAATTACTTACAATAATATAATTATCTGCACAAGACATGATAACAGGGTTTGTGCTGTTAACCAATTGTATTAAACATTTAACATGTTTCATTTAAGTTAGATTTAGAAAAAAAAGTAAATTAACAGTTATTTGACACTTTGTTAAGTTCACAGTTTATTCTATTATTTCTCTTATGATAATTACCATTTTTTTTTAACTAACAATAACGTTACGTAATATTATTCTACTTGTCATTTAAATAAAGGTTTTTATCGCAAATAACTCATGATAAACATTTTTTTTTAAAGATTTAAAATGTTATAATAGTTGCATGCGAATGATAAAAATGTATATGTTTAAATGATTTGGTCGTTTTTAATAATAACTTGTTAAGTCAACGACATTTTGAATTAAAAAGTAACCCATCAAGTTAATTGATACCAAATAAAATAGCTTTTAACCTTAGTACCCGTTAGTTCCCAGGTTTTAATCTCAATTAAAAATCAAAAAATACCGACTTGAATTTTCTAAGATCTATAAAGTTAATAAAGTCAAACAAAAGTCAAAACAAGTCTGTCTCAAAAATAGTTCCTATAATGATTTGTTATTTGATGGTATTTTATAAATTATAAAAACTTTAGTCGTAATATTTACCAAAACAAGTTATCCAAAGAATAACCCAACACGAGTTTCGAACTACTCAGGATAATACATTTTTAGAGAAGTAATAGCGGGTCTATTTTTAAGTTAAAAACTACCATAATTTGTAGGAAGTTCATCTCGATTTCAAAGGGAACTTTTTGAAGGGGTGTTGTTTTTCAACAATTTTTTTTTATTACAGCGGCATTTCAGTAGTTTTTAAATATATTGATAAAAAAACGCGGTTGTCATTTTTTAACCGGTTTCCTGACCGACGCCATCGACTACTTACATGCCTACGGTAAATCCCTCCAAACAAACAATCGTTCTTAGAAACTCTCAAACGTAAATGCTTTGAAACGGCATGTTTTTAAGTAAACCACCAAAAAAAAAAAAAAAATAGGATTCCATTCCGAATAGGTCTCGGTGGTTGTTTTCTTTACCGCACGTTTTCCGTATTGTCCTTAACAGTTTAACTATCGTGTGGATCGTGTCGACCCTTACGCACGTGATCCATTAGCCGTCTGTGTACTTTCGGTGACAATAGGAAATACACATACTATACATGGTCATATTTATACTGTAGTATATGCCCTCGCATACGTTTATAAGAAAAATTAACAACAAAAAAAACTCGTTTCCATACAGGATACGGGGTGTAGTAAATGCTGCACACCAAAAATGGTCTTGAAGCGGTAATGAAAAATTATTAAATACAGTTATAGGTATATTAAAGTATAATATCCAGTCGATGACGTTTGACCGAAATATACCTGCTGTATATAATTTTCGTTTAAGGCGATTGAAAACGGATGTTTTTTAGGAGTTTTAAGTAGGCAATATTTAAGAAAAATCATTTTTTAATAAAATGATCGATTATGTCAATTTATTTTTTATGTAAATTTGTTTAAGCTTCGAGGTTTTATCATTTTTTTTTCAATTTTTTCTATGAGGGAAAGCGATTTTAGTGGCAACAAAATGCTTTCTATGTGATAAAATTTGAGAGTCTTTGGCTGGTCAAATTCCAATGTTTCTGCAAAAAGGTTAGAATTTGTTGGTCTCTTTACTAGCATAACCTAGTAAAGTAGCTAAATAACTCGTAGATTTTAATAGAATTAAATTCGGGCCATTTTAAGTAGTCAACAATTTGTCAAGACTTTTTTTGTCTTTCAATGTCGAAAATATGTACACACTATTTTTTGGACCGACAACTCTTTGGGATTATTATTATTTTTTGTACTTAAAGCCTTATTATATTACATTGTATTATTTATAGTTTGGCGGTTTATAATGTACATACGTTACCGACGATGTAAATAGTACGATTATCGAACATAAAATATGTTAACCGATCACACGAGCAATGTAAATCGCACTCGAAGCGGATAACTTCGAGCCTCTGCTCTCCAAGTATAGAAATCCACTATACGGATTTCAATATGTCATTTTTAATTGTTGTTGCTATTATGATCACATAGCATGCACGCGGTTGGCTTAATTTCCCATAGTCGATAAATAGATTTCGCCTTGAACGTATACTGCTCTGTGGGTTCTCATAAACTATAATCACGTCTAATAAATCATGTGTAAGTGTGCATTTTTTTTTCTACGGGCCTCTGTTATAACGTCACGTGTCAATTTCGAAAATATTGCCCCACTAGCTGCGGTGGACACGAGCCCGAGAGATGATGAAAACCATTCAGACCATATATGAACACATAATATATTTAAAACAACAAATTATGTAAAAAAATAAAGAAACACGCAAAGGACATTTAAAAAGTTTTGTAGAATAAACAGTTTAAACTTCAAAGCTCGTTTGTTAAAGTACACTCCAGGGATGTCTCAAAGGAAATGTTAACAACGTGACTGAAATGGCAATTAGGTGTTGGGTTAGGTAAGGTTTGTACAAATCACTATGTATTTTCACGGGGGTAGTAAAAATGTGAGATTTTTTAAGACTATTTACAACATAGAAACCATAACCAGACCTAATCTGACGTCTGCCAAGGTGGTAAGGTCAAGTTAGATTATATTATATATTTTCCCATACCGGATAAGCATTACGTTAGTCCAAGTTGTAAACATTTTTCTAAACGCTGTCAAATGGTTTTTAACATATAAAAAATATATTTTGTTGCACAGAAATGTAATTTTTTTTTTCTTATGTTATGCAAGTATTTTTTACTTTATTACAGAATTTATAAAATATACTTTATATGCATTGTATTAGAAATGCTTATTTTAATGAGAACACTACTATTAGGATAAATTAAGGTAATGATTGGGTAAACGATTAGGACAAAAGTAAATTCAATTTTTTTCTGGACTTTTTTATTTTAATTAAATAGTTTTAGCTATAAGATGATAATGTATTACATAATATAATAAAACGCATTTTTGTTTTTTTACTATAAAAAATATAGCTTTTACATTCGGATCATTAATACTTTCGAATGTTATTACTCACGTATTCTTAACACTACTACACTGCATTTATGCATTTAGAAAAAAAAATGTAAATATCTTCTAGCTTAGTAATAAACCAAATAGTACAATGTAAGGTCTGTAATCCTTAGACACCACCATAATTATAATTTTTTTTTCACATAATTTAGCTCAAGGAAAAATTGTAAAAATTATGACTAAAACATGCATGGGTTGGTAAGGTTTGAATCGTTGAAATCCGTTTAATGGTTGTGGGGTTAAACTTAGAAATTCTGAATTTTTCACCTGTGTCATTCATCATATTATTCAAATGCTATTCGTATAACACTTGACTTATGTATTTTGTTTTTACTTGTTTGCCGACAGAATTTTGTTTTTCACCCAACCAGCCCACGTCATCATGATCCTGGCCGTCACTCTGGTGGCTGCGTCCATGTTCCCCAACGTGAAGAAATCCACCTCGCTGCACGTGGACGCCAACGGTAACGACGTTAAACCCAGGACTTTCGTCAACTTTGTCTACCTGGCGGCTTTTTGCACCCACGTGGGAGCCCAGTTCTGGATGACGTTCATTTCCGGTGAGTGCCCTGAGGTCTTTTTGGAAAACTTCGACTTTTTTTCCTGGTCCTTTGCAACTGTCCTATTTTGAAAAACTCAGGCGTTTACACTTGAGGGTGTTTTTTCTGGATACACTGTGTAGATTAATACTTTATGTAGGGACTAGTTGGGTTTTCTATGAACATCTTGAACCGTAAAAGACATTTAGTCGGAAACTACATACGACATAAGTTTTTACTTTTTTAAATACTATAGTACACAAATGTAATAACCTGATACTCAAAAACAATTACTTTCGATTCAATCTTCGAAAAAGACCAATAATAGTTATGTGTGTTATTTATAGTTATGTTATTTAATGTGTAATCGTTAACATCAAAATATCGTCAATTATTTAATTATAAATAAAAAACCATTTACATATTTTTCTCTGATTATTTACAATTACCTGCCCACTTATCCCACCTTACCCCACTCGATCAACCAAACCCGACTTTATAATTATATTTCCGTTAAAAATACCTACACGCCCGGGTTTCAAGTTAAAAAATAGATATTGTTTTTTTTTAGCATGTATATATATACAATAATAGTTTTTTTTGAAAACGATTGCGTCTTGCGTTAAAAATAACATTCAACTAAAGCGTGATTGACGTTTACTGCTTAAAACGTTTGGCAAAAACCGAAATATATTAAATTTCGACCTTATATTTAAACCTACTCGATTTGGCACGTCGTGACTCGCGAGCTTATTTTAAGTAACAGCATAAAACGTTAGTTAATTAAGGTGATTCACTAGGTAAACAATAAATTAGGAGATATTTATTTTTGTCTCAAGCTTTGGTAGGTACTCAATGTATACTTAAGTACTTCAGTTAGGTCAAGTAGGTAAATGTGTACTATTTATATGATCCTATGTATTATTTGAGATTTCTTTTAAATACTTTTTTCATTTTAATAACCATTTGAGTTTGTATAAAAAATAACAATAACGTCCATGTTTGTTAAAGGTAGAGGGAATGTTAGGTCGAATTCTCCTCTTCTTCATCCTCCTTGTATACAGTTAACATAATTTATAATTTGGTTTTTTTCTCCCACAGGACTTAGCTTGTACTTCAACTTGGCCAGACACGCGTTCGGCGACGTGCAGAAAATCTTGTTCCCCAAGTACTTTTCGTTGAACAGCCTGCTCAGTGCCATCACGCTCATCCAGTTCGGTAAAATTCACGTGGCGTCCAACGTGTGGGACATGCACACTTACCTACAGGTAATAATAAGTGTACTATAATAATTCCTGAAGACCTGTAACCTTTTCGACCCCAAAATGATTCGGTCCCACTGTGTTCTGACCCCACTATGCCGGTCTTTATGATTTTACGATTAACTATATGTATTTTTTCAACCTTATACTTATGTCTCTATCTTTCTGTTTTTGTTTGTGTGTACACATAGGTTTTCGTGTTGAGCCTGTGCTTCCTGTTGGAGCTGATGATCCGACTCTACGTGGTGCCTCCTCTGTTGCGCCTCATCACCATCAAAATGGCCATCGAAAAGTCGGCGGGCGTCGGCCACGAGGTGGGCCACTACGACATCGGGCCACTGGTCGACTGCCCACACTACATGGCCATACACAGGTCTTTTCGGCAAGTGCATTTGTGCGTGGCAATCGGCAACGTCGTATCCATGATGTGCACCGCGTTCCATCTGATGTACATTGCTGCCTAACGCATTGGCAAACAATACAAAATAAAAAACAATTAACACCACCGACGCTTTTTTATGCACATTTATAATTATAATTATATAATATCATTTTTTTTCTATTCTCTAGTCAACAGCCTGAGAATTTTTAATGTTAAAAAACGAATAAAAATCTACAAATTTCGAAACGTGTAAGAAGAAAAAGAATAATAAACCATAAAACATTTGTCCGTTGGTTTTACTGTTGTTGTGCCGTTGGAAAATATTATAAATATCTTATAGAACTCACACGAATTTTATTTTACGGGCCATCGATCTGAATAGTTGTTCTAATTTCTCATTCACACTTTTGGCCTCGGCTGAAAACTGAGAATTTAAAAATAAACTAAAAAAAATAAAAGGCGATTTATCACAATTTTCGAAATGTTTATTGTTTGTTCTATACGTTATTTGTCGCGTTTATAATACATAAACACTTGACTAGTGATTTTGTACAGTTTTTTTTAAACTAATATAATAAAATTAATTAATAAATTTAATATTGTCGAGAAACGCCCGTTGTATACGACAATGTCGGTGTACTACAATGCAATATTATTGATTTAATTATTTTTTACTAATTTAAATTATACATATTTATATGTATACTATATATATGTTATACATATATACGAATTTTAGAAACAATACATTTTTTAAAAAATGTAAATTATATAATTGTTGGTGCGAACGTGTGCGACGTGAGATATCAGTTAGTAAGATCGATTTATAGTTTTTTTAACGGTTCCTTTTTTTTTTACTCGTGAATTATCGTCAAAGACTGTGAAAAAGCTTGTGTAATTTTTTTTATTATTATCATTCTTTTATCGCGTGTTGTCGTTAGACGGATCGTTTCATAAATAAGTTTTATTATTATTATTTTAATTTTTTTTTTTTAGAATTTTTTCTTTTTGTTCCTATATTATATTTATTTATTGTTGCAATTTTTTTTTTTTTTGTGTATTTCTTAAATAATATTATATTATTATAATATACTGATGATGATGATATAAAACATTTTTTATGTAAAATTATTATTACCTATTAATTATTATTAAGTAGGAGAGTATATGAAAAAAAATTAAAGAGCGTGCCTAGCGAGGTTGTTAGTAAATTGATATTTTGGTAATAATTAAAAAGTTTAAAGTCTTAGTAAAGACGGTAAAAAATTGTTTTTATTTTTGTTTTTGAATGCATTCCTTGAAAATCAACACAATTTTTTAATATAATCCGCAACAAAATGAATACTTATTTATAAAAAAAATAAAACAACACCGAATTTGGGCCAAAACAAGCCCAACATTTTGGCAATAAAATAGACCACTAGACATCTAACATAAAATACCCTTTACATTATGAAGGAGGGTCATTTATAAAACGATAATTGAAAGAGTTACGAAATTAACAATAATAAAACAGAGCTTTATAAAAAAAAAAAAATCTAATCGATTTTATTAAATAGTGATAAGACTGTAGATTTAGGAAATATTATTTATTTTTTTATAATGCTGTGTGAGAAATAAAATAAATTTTGGTTAAAATGGAAAAAAACAACTATTAGTTTTAATATTTCAATTTACTATTGACAAAAATATACTATAAACACAATATCAATATATTATTTTACCTCAACCCTCAAAAAAATAAACTGGTCCCACTGTACACATATGCATTCATGTAGCTAAATTGCCTATACCAATCGCCGTTCAAATGAATTTCAAAATCGATTACGAATTCATATTCATTTTAACACATTTTCAATTATTAAATAAAATAATTTTTATAAATTAGTTCATATGTAAAAAAAGTTTAAATAACAAAATAAAATAAAAATGTACTCAAATAACATTTTATTTGAAGCTGCAAATAAAAAATGTTTTTCAACCAAGTTTTATTTTTTTTTATATCAAAAAAAGAACAATTCTACCAGATCTGTTTGACGGTTATTCACTTACTTTTCATTCAATATGATTTCAAGTTTTAGGCTGACTTGACTTGGAGCTTGCTCTTTTTTAGTCGTATGCTCGGACACATTTGCATTTGTTGAATAAAAACTTACTATCGGTCTTTGCATTTGATTATTTTTTACTGTAACTTTAGTTTATCTGGACTCATGACAATTATGTAGAAATTACAGCAAGTCAAATGCATTAACTATAAAAAACTAAGGGTAAAAATAGCAGTCAGTTTTGAATTAATAAACTTTCAAGAATGTAAGACCTGCTACTACCCAAACCCCATTGTGCTCCGGCCCCACAGTGCCAGTTTTTTTTACATATAACATTAAGTTATACATAAAACTTTCAATTTCATCAATAATAAACAAAATTATGGTATCAATCAAATGCTTTGTTCTAGTTTAAAATTGTATGATCCAATGTATTTATATATTGCTAAATAACAAAACATTAAGCTGATAAATAGGTTGTTAAAAATAGTAGAAATAAAAATAAAATAAATAAAACAATGAGAATGGGAATTATTTTTAACAAACAAAATATTTTTTAGCGTTTATAAACATAACATTAAGTAGCACATATAATGTAAAATAATTAGTAATAATTTATTATATTTGTTTATTTGAACAATAACGGTTATCAAACACACTTGTACTTAACATGTAACATTTTGGATTTTCATTATGAAAATAACATTAAAACATGTGACAGTTTCACTTTTTTTTTATGACAATATACTAAAAAATTATCAATTATTTTAGAAATTAATAATAATTACTCATGAATTATTCAAATGGTACATGAAAAATGAATTTTAGGTTAAAAACCTCGAGTATACAATTACTATCAATATATACAAACTTCCCGATTATTTTTATAAAAATACAGTTAAAAAAAATGTTTTAAAAATGTACCAATTAATTATTGTAGCCGTGATAAGTTCATGAAATATATATCAACTGTTTATTCACCAACTTCCATTGCATTAGAATGATTATCAATTAATATACCGGAACTGTCTCTCTGTACCGATTCATAGATCGCATTTAATTCAGGCGAGTTCTTTATCTGGCACACAAAATCACTCAAGTGTGGATTTTTATCTAAAAAATAAAATATTAAGAATTTGTACTTGAAACATGGGGCAAAAACCAAAAAAGAGTGATTGATATTTTATCACTTCCTCACCAGAATCGGGTATCGTTTGTAAATTGACCACAGCTCGCATAGCTGATCGTTTGAGCTCTTCCATTTTTTCAAATTCTTGTTTAACAGAATTGGCCTTGATTTTCAACATACAAGTTTGTTTCAAGGGTTCGGCAATCTTATCGAGCCCTATATAATTATAGAAAATAAAATTAGGTGTATTATTATTAGTTATATGACATTATTACGCCACACTCACTTTGCAATACGGCGCTCGGAACAATTTGAGCCATCCTTGACACCATCAGATAAGTAAGCATTTTAATGTCGTAATGATCACGAAGACCATTTTCCAAATAATTTAAGTACTCGAATATATCCAAACGGTCTAGACACGAGTCTAACAAAGTGTACATGCATTCAAAAGCCGCTTTTCTTATGTCCAAACCATCGTCGACAGTGTGTTTGAAAGGACCCATTTCTACTTCTCGGATTAATTCTTTCTGAAATGTGTATAAAATATAAAGATTATATAATATTAGAAGGAGAATCTTTATTGTTGTTCTTTTGTTTACCTTGACAATAGTTTCGGCATAAAGTTTGGGTAAAACCGTGTCAAGAAGGTCTCTGATTAAAGATGGTTTATTATGCGCAGCCGAATTGAACGCAATCAACGTAACTCTTCTAACATTAATATCAGGATCGGTCAGAGCGCTTAAGAATTGACCCATGTTTTGTCTGAGCAACGAGTCTATTTGTTGTGGTTGATCTGAAATGGTGAATTTGACCGCCGTCAGTAGAGTTGTCCTCATAAGTGCAGATGACGAAGATAATGACAATTGTAAGTTTGGCAGTAGACTGTACGGGTCGATCAATGTTAGCTTGCCCAGGCATTCGGCAACGACGTTGCGGGTACCTTCTTCAGTACACTCGCAGTGTTTGAACAGCTGTTGCCATATGGCGGGCACGAAAGGTTTTAGATTTTCAATGCCGTTCGCAGTGGACGATTCAAACGAGATTATCTAAAAATTGTTTTAAAAAATCACGAGCATTAAGAACTGTTTTCACACAGTGCACAGAGGGATCGATTCCGATTATAGGTTGCTATAACTTAAAATAAACTCATTGTTGATAAAGGGATGTACACGTAAATTTGTTCTAAAAATCTCGATGAACTTCATTACAGTATTATTTTTATGATTCAATTATGAAGTGAAAGCAACTGAAGTACATCACAAGATGAAAATACATTAGTCATAACATTTCACATCTTTGATGTGTATAATACGCATAGTTTTAAAAACACAGTATGATCCAAACATGCAGTTCGTCAATTCCAAATACATACGCGGCATACCATACATATCATATGTGAAATATTATTTTTGTTAAACCTTCTACTGTTAAAATTTATACTAACTTCTTTTAGGGAATGTAAAAGTAAATATTGCCGTTTCGGCTGCATATCAATTTCTCTCAATATGAATGGTAAGTATTGCTCTAAATTTCCAATGGATATGCTACCCAAACTGTAGCTCGCTGATGATTTGATTTCTTCGGAACTTGAAGAGAAAGATTGTAGTATAGTTTCTTTTAAATTCGGAACTGAACTTAAATCTCTAGATATTGTATGAAATATTTAACAATTAATAATTATATTGTGACAAAAAAAAAATGTATTTAAAACATACATGTGTCGGCCAACCTCGCCGATTACATATAGTGAAAAGATGTGCTGTTGATCGTTAGATGGACTTATCAGTTCCGACATAAAACTATTTATGATTCCCATAGCTTGACTGGGTTGCGTTGCTGTTAACGCGGCGACGCACTTGGCTAGAGAATGGTAAGCCTAAAAAAAATGAATATAATAATATACTGTGATAATTTATAGTCTTAGAGTAATATTAAATGTACCTGTTTATGTAGGGTTAACGAAGCGGTACCGGTCGACTGGGCCATCAACGGTGAGACTAAAAGTTTCACCAAATCTTGGTACCCAAACTGTGGAACGTTTGAAGCAACTAAAGATTGGAAAAACGACAGAATCGCGTTGAGAGCTGCCCCCTGAAGTAATGGAGACTTCGCTAAAGTCATGACTTCCGGCATAATAATATTAGCAGAATACGACATGGCCAACGGTTGGATTTTTATTATAGTCGTGAGTAAAGACAGTGTCAGTTGAGCGATGTGCAAATCTGATTCGTTTATTAATTGGGGTAATTCGACGAGAATCTGCAAAAAGAAAATAACATTAGTCTGAACAAAGGAATAACAGTTTGGGATTTCAAACAGCGTTTTTACCAACCTTGTTCAACAACTCTGCTGAGAAATCGGCATGGAAATTGTTTAACAGCATATTAAGAAGAGTCAAAGTACTCAATTTCAACGCCCTTTGGTTTTTACGAAGGAAAGAAGCCAAAATCTCTACCCCATCGTTCTATAATATTATTATTTTGGTTAAATAAAAATTACAACAAAATCAAAATTTAACTTCATCTACTTACTAATATAGGAGATAAATTAATTTTTAATGGCGAGCCAGCCACTTTGATGAGAGCTTTTACAGTTGTTAGCCTGGTTATTTCGTTGCGCAAACGATCTAAGAATATAGGTAGACACACTTGCAACTCGTTTTGAAGCACGTCACCTAAATTACAGATTATTTGGCCCATACACGAAATGGACCGTTCTTTTACTTCTTGGTCGATGTCCGAAGTCTTCAAACGTGAATAAGTACAATTATACAACTGTATGGCGTAAATTGTAAAATTAAAATCCTGTTTACGATCTGTGAAACAAAATTAATTAAATTAGGTCTTGTCAAATAATATAATACAAAGAAACATCTCATTGTCGGACATTTCTGAGAAATGGAAAAGTGTTTGATATTGAGAGTGTCTGCAAACCAAGAGGTGACTGATATGAGACCTAAAAACTACTTACCCAACGGACGGATAACCTTGACCATTTCTTGTAACACCAGAAGTGCTTCGGCAGTAATTTTATAGAAGGGATCGCCAACAGCAGTTATGATCGACGGAATTAACTGTTCGGCCCACGGATAAAAGATTTCAGGAGGATGTGACGTTAACACACAATGAATAAACGATAATGTATCTATTTTCATGTTGCTGCTTGATTTTTTATCGCTACATAAAAAAATTTCATAAATTTTAGTACTTCTCTAGTTTTATAATAAATTTGTTGTTTTTTAAAAATTAAAATTAAAATTACCTCAGAGAAAATTGAATCCCAGGAATTAAAGTGCCAATGTGGTTAGTAAGAGCACCAGGAAGAACAATGACAAGTTCTTTTAATAAAGCTAAACAATCGGTACGAGTTTTCACACTTCTTTCTTTCATTTGTATATAAATTGCTTTTACAATTAAAGGAACCTTGAAATATAAAATAAACAAATAAATACAATTTTTTTTTTTAAATATTAAATACTAACTTGAGACTGGAGAAGATACACGGCAGAATCTTTATCAGCTATGTCGACAGTTATATTAATACTAGTCAGTTTTGTTTGTTTCAACAACGCCATGTAAACATGCAATATATCACTTTTAACGTTTTCTTCTCTTTCTACATAATTAAAAATATAATTCAATATAATTTTAATAATAATATCTATATTAAAATTTAACTTTTAAATCTAGTTTCACCTTTAAATCGCAATATTAATGACTTTGAAACGTTTTTATACATATCAGCAATCAAATCTTTTCTTGTAACGATAATGCCTTCTAGACATTTAGCCGCTGCTCGTCTGACTTTCCAACTCATGTCATCATCATCCGAGTAATCATCTTCATCGTCTTCATCTTCCATGTCTTCTCCATCGTTGGTATCCATGAAGTTATCATCACCATTTTCACCGTTGTCATCATAGTTGTAGTTAGGATCGTATGCTAAATACTCCAGACACAGCTTGATAATATCATTAGTGTAAGCAGCTGTTTCACTAGGGCAGCGATTTACGAATGCGTCAAAAGCCTGCAAACAGTATTCTCGCAACTCGTCATCTTCAGCGCTATTCTCCACTAACGGTCCTTGAATCAACGGCACAGCACGGTCAATATGAACACCAAAGCGATGGCCAGCTTGTCGACTATTTTAAAACAATTCCATTTAAATGTTCAACTTTGTTAAAAATAATCAAAATGTATCATAATGCACTCACCATATAGCGGCTATACATTGAATAGATGTCTTAGACCTTGCTGCGGGAGGTTGTGTTGACAAATCGTTAATTAAATAATCAATGAGTTTGCTGTACAATTGTTGGTTACATGACAATACTAGATGACCAAGTGCCACAATAGTTCTGAAAAAATAACCAATATATCATAAATAATTAAATCCTGTAAAGATATCTAGGAAAGTTTTCAATAAATACAGTTTACATTTTAAATGTTGTCAGAAAAATATTTGGCTAAAAAATTATTGTCACTGACCTTTTTCTCACAGCTTGTCGAGATGAAGTAAGTTGTGGCAAAAGTGATTTGAGTATCACCTGATGAAAATCCAGTAACAATGATCCAAATCTTGACAATAGATCGGCGAGTATGTCTAAAGCTTCCAATTGAACCGATACGTCTTGCTACATTAATGTATAGTAATAAGTGTTAGTTGTTTGTTTTTTTGTATTATCATAATTAATATTTACTGAAGAGATAATTACTTTTTCGATAGCACTGGTTAATTTTCCTGTGATTCTTCTACACACATTTGTGGCTATATAAGTGTTTGTGATGGGCAGTTCGCTAATAACAGTTTTTAATCCAATACTACAGATATCTCTTAATTGTTCATTCTCGGAGATCATGTTTGTGCAAAGAGCATCGACAATAGTCTCAACTTGATTTTCTTTTACTTTGATCACTAGAGGACCCAAGCTAAAAGGACAAATACAAATATTACACTGTGGGTGGTTAAAAAAATTAATTCAGTTGACAGTATTTCATTGAAATTATACATTATCTCTTTCAATACAAAATAGAGCAATATTTACATTGTATTGACTATTATTTTTAATTTATATAATTATACATTTGACAATAATTTACCATTTTACAGCGAGATTTTGTACCTCGCCGTTTTTATCTTCCAAAAGCTTTAATAACATTCGTACGACTTTGCGTTCAGAATCGTCGTCCAGTTTAATGCTGTCTTTCTGCAGTTCCGACATAAGATCGTTAGTGGCCATGAATCGAAAGTCTTTGTCGCTCGAAGTCATCTAGAACAACATACACGACAATAAGTAAATCATCACAGTAGCTTCCTACGACGTGAAAATGACTTACTTTTTCAAGTAAATGAGCTATTTGGTACGATACGTTAGCCATTCTAATTCAGTTGCAGTCCAACTTCAAGTCGATAGAAAAATTAAAAAATCACCACCGAGTGGAAATGATGTGTAGGCAATACATACAAACACCAGCTAAGCGCTATAAAGTCCCATTAAACGCGTTTTTCACGTTTAATTTTGAAAAAATCGATCATAAACGACAATTTTATTGAATAACACACGGAAATTCGGCGAGTGAAAATTAATTTTTTGTTGTGACTTGTGCTTGTATGGAGGAAACTGATTAAACCCTTACATCGTCCCAGCGAGGTATACCACGACCATGGTTAAGACGCCGGTTTTATTTCTTATCAGCTATTACGGCCAAGCGGACGTTTCTTCTTATTGTTGTGTGTTTACATTATTTTCCCTCAACTACACAACGTGTGATTAAATATAGGTTTCGCCGACTTCAGCTGGAGTTTACACTTATAGTTTAACGTTTATGACATAAAAGTGTTATATTAGACTTTTATAAGTAATCTGGTGCCGACTAATTTTTAAACATGGTCAAACTGACAACAGAACTGATCATGAACTCGTACCAGTTCATAAATCCTGTCAAGGATAGAGAATTGGACTTACGGGGTAAGCCGAAAACAAATAAATAAAATGGTTTCAAGCTCTAATAGTTTTAGTCTATATATATATAGTCTAATAATATTACAACACAGTCTGATTTGGAATTTGGGTGAATTAAGTTTTATTAAGTGTAGCAATAATGTGTCAAGTTATTTTTAATATCATATTAATAAATCTAATAGCAGATCTCGTGTTTGAACATTGTTAATAAAGATACATTTTAATATATTTATTAATCTATTTTACCAAAATGATGTACACATGTCTATTGTATAGAGCCAATGTGTAGGTTTTGCCGTGTAATCAGAACTATTGTGTACGGAACACAAAACCATTATGACATTATTTTTGTAATTGAATAATTGATTTCAGGTTACAAAATACCGTTGATTGAAAACATGGGAGCTACGCTTGATCAGTTTGATACTATTGACTTTTCAGACAACGACATCAGGAAAATTGATGGTTTTGCATACCTCAAAAGATTGAAAAATTTAATATTCAATAACAATTCGATTGTGTAAGTATTTTGTATACAGCGCAACAATAAATAGAAAACTGTGATCGTTTTTTAATGTAAATCTACATAAAAATAAAACTTGGTATGGATGTAAATGAGATTAATTCTAAGATATCTAGTTTGTATGTGGGAAATATAGGCCAGATCTAACCTCGAATAGCGGGGAAAATAAGATAATTTTTTTTTTTGTAACTTGATTAAACTTTGAATTATAAAAAAAACTACTTGAGTAACAAGTTACTTTTAATCATAAGTTCCTGCTCAGGTTGAGTTGGAAGATTATTTTGTTTGGTTGTATTTTAATCCTTTTTTATTGTTACTTTTAGTCGAATTACTGATAATTTAGAGCAATGTTTGCCAAATCTAGAATCTCTGATACTTACTGGTAATCAGATTCAAGAACTAGGAGATTTAGATCCACTGGCTACGTTGCCCAAATTAAGGATGTTAAGTTTGTTACATAATCCAGTCACGTCAAAAGAGCACTATAGGCTTTATGTAGCGCACAAAATACCTCAAGTGCGAATTTTGGATTTTAGGAAAGTCAAATTAAAGGTATAATGCAATTTTTGATAGCTTATATTTACTGGGAAATGTATCTTTAAATTGGAAATGTACTTTAGGAGTATGAAGCAGCAAAATTGTTGTTCAAAGGAAAAGAAGGGAAAGAACTTAAAAAGAAATTGGTCAAAAAATCCAATCAATTTGTTCCAGGCGAAGGTCTTGAAGGCAGGAAAACAAATGGTATGTAAACAAAAATATGAAATATGAAATTTGTGAAATAAAATAATTGTTTGTATGAAGGATCAAGTTAAAAGCAATAAATTGGATGATTGCTTTTTGGACAGCTTAAAATTATCATTGGTTTGAAAACACTAAAACTTTATTACTTTTTGTTAAGGTCATTCTCAAGAAGATATGTGGAGGATTAGGAAAGCAATTGCAGAAGCAACATCGTTGGAAGAAGTTGAACATTTAACAAAGTTATTACAAGCCGGACAAATTCCTAACAAAGAACAGAAAAATAAATCCAACAAACAAAACGGAGGAGGTATTAAAAGTCTTGTATAAAGGTATAAAGGCATGTATTAAACTATTCTTTTGTTTAGAAGAAAATATTGAAGAATTTGATGACGATGACGACGACGTTGCCGCACCTACATCCATGGAACATTAAAAGTTCTACGGTTGCTGATCTAAAGGCGTTTTAGCCTAGTGATAATTCAAATAATTAACTATATATATTTTAAATGAACATCAAATTATTAAATGATGAGAACAGATACAAATTATTGTTGATCTATTTATATATTTAAATTGACTACCTCTAAAAAATTTCAATTATTTCAATAATAATAACATCAACATCAACTAAAGAGTCATTTACTCTTGAATGGTCTTCTTTTACTATATCGACATTATTAATTTGTAATTTTTACTAAAATAATAAATGTAAAATATTATATTGGTCGAGAAGCTTTTGATTAAAATCGCCATTATTATAAGTATAGCGATTTTATAAGTAATCCCAGTCATATACAGCTGGGTCGCATGAATGTAAGTAAATTTTTTAATGAACGAATCATTAAATATTCTTTTAACGTCGCTTAAAGGCTCTTATTTAGTCTGGATTAATTAAAGGAACCATTAAATATATTATATTTTCGTGTGACCCAGCAATAGTGTTTTCATCAACAACTGTGACGATTTAACTGTTTCAACCAAAGTCAATATGATAAGTTTAAAACTTATTATAAACATACAAAGAATACTGGAAAAAATAAAAATGCCCATTTGGATTGATTTTATGTACTTAGTTAACTGTTTCAGAAATCACTGGATGAATTAAAACAAATCATGGATTACAAATTATATACAGAAAATATTTTTGATCATCAGATATAATTATAACATAGATTATTAATACTTAAATATATCATGAGAAGAATACAAAATAAATGAAAATCACTCATAAACATTATATTTGTTTCTACTTTACAAATTAAACACTTATAAAGGAAACATTTTAGATACTCACATTTTATATATTTCCAATTTATTCAAACTAATTTTTACAACAAAAATGGTAACTTAATTTAAAAAAAAAAATAATAACAATCGACTATATAAATTAAACAAGAACCCTTAATAGTCAGTTTGAGTCGTAAAAATTTTTTTAAGACATACAAAAAAAATTCATATTAACTGTTCACAAAATAATAGCTGTACGTATAAATATATGTTTAAAAAAAACCTACTTGTAACCAATTGATGTTCTACTCGATTTGAACCGATGGGAAGTAGAATTAAGAATATAAGGCAATATGTGAGGATGTGAAAGTATTTCAGATGCATCTGGCCTGGCTGTTGGATCACGATTTAAAAGTTCATAAACAAGTCTTACTAAATCAATATCGTAATACTTTCGTGTTGTCATCGGGTTCAAAACGCCTTCGACGATGCAAGATACTAGCTCGGCTAAACTCTGAAATAATGAAAAATAAAATTATTATATACTTAAAATCCTGAAAAATTTACATACTTGTCCGTAAAAAGGATGTTTCATACTCATTAAGTAATACAAAACGCAGCCAATCTGCCAAATATCACTTTTGAGTCTTAGAGGTTTCCCACAACATTGTTCAGGGGACATATAGCAAGGTGTACAATTATTTCCACTAGTAACTTTTTCACTGACAAAACAAAAAAAATCAATTTAATACTTAAGTTGATTTCTTCTTAGTTTTTTCTCATACTTACCCAGTTAAAATGTGAGAAGCTCCAAAGTCACCAAGTTTAATGACGGTACCTTGACTTCCTGTTAGCAAAATGTTCATTGGATTTATATCTCTGTGTATGATTTTCATTTTGTGAATGTAATTTACAGCCATTGTAAGTTGGCTAAATATATTTAGTACACACTGGAAAAAAAATGTTAACACTTAATTAGAGATTTCATAATGGTGAAGGAGGCCATTCCTATTGATGATAAACTCTTATGTGACGGTTATATTACTTGTCACAAATAACAAGTAAAACTTACATTTTGAACTATATGATCCGACGTACGTGAACATTTCAAAACAAAATTTTCAAGAGTACCGTGCGTTGCGTATTCCATTACAATATGGAAGTTATGTTCACTTTGGAAACTGTTATAATATTTTATGATGTTAGGATGATCCAACATTTCAAGAATACGAGTTTCCTTAATGGCTTCCTTAAAAAAAATGTTTGCAATTTTTTATTATTTTATTGAAAAAAATAATAAAGAACTAATATACAAAATTTAATAATTATTTTACCTTTAAGTCGTCTGTTGACATAGATTTGATTTGGATGGTTTTCATAACGACCATTTTTTTCAAATTGAAATCCCTAACCAATTCAACTACCCTACGATTTAAAAAAAAATATTTATAAGTAATCTTATGGATTTCAATAATAATTGAATGTACATATTTTACTTACCCAAAAGCACCGCGCCCAAGGACACCGACTATATTATACGAATCCATACCAAATCTAATAAGTAAAAACAATGTATTAGCTAGACTGGAGTTAGTCGATTTAACTTTATATTAATCACGCAAAATGATTAATTGAATCGATTATTGAACAGTTTTAATGATATCGATTTATAGCATGAGAAAACTTGAAATTTGTAATGAAATGTCGTTAAATATAAGTATGCGATAATCAACAAATATTGACAATTTAATAATGACAACTTTTAAAATTAACACGTTATTTTATCTGTTATATAATATGCCGTTAATTATGATGATGTATAACTTGAATCTAAAATGTAAATTGTAAATAATAAATACTAGTAGAATTGATAAAATACAAAATAATTATATTTTGTAAAACCCAATGTATAAATAGATTGATACACCGATTATAATAATATAATATGATGTATGGACTGAGTAATATCTAAAATGAAAAAAAAACATGTTTTGTCAATAATTGTATTTTTTTTTCTAGCTATTAAAAATGACAATAATATTATGTGTGTTTATAAGAGTTACGTTTTTGTAACAAATTAGATATTCAAGCATAAAAAATAGGATTATTTTGTGTCAAAACTTAAAATATTACAGTAACTCAGAAGTTATTTAGTTATAGTACATTTTAAAAACTGATAAAGAAAACAGAAAAAAATTAACAAGATTAGTGAATAATTAATATTTTGTATGGAACTTATTTAACAAGCAAACATCGTTTTTTTTTTATATTATCCTTTTATTTTGGAGTGTTGATTAAAGAATGGTCAACAATTTAATTGTTGTGTTTTTATCAATTGTACTCAGTGCTGTTTCCAGTCTTCAAGACAACAGTTTCGAATTTATCAAGTTTTGGTCACTGTTGTGTTTCAGCTCTTCACTTAAATCAGAGTTAACCCATACTAAAAAAATATTTTTTTTTTGTGTATTGGTAAGATTAAAGTTTAAAACAATTGTATTTTTTTACTATTACTCGTGTTCAAAATAACTAATAAGCGTGATCAACCAATTCCGATAGCACATTTCATAATTCATATATTTATTTGACCACAAAGTAATTGCCGCCTTGAGTACATATTACGTAGCTACATAGGTTAAAAGTCTTGTTTGATGTTTTTGAGCAAAAAATGAAAACCCAGTAGTTAGAATATAGTTTTATACTAGCAAGTCTTTAATGTTATAACTGTTCTTTGATTTGTAATATTTGAAACATAATTTATGTTAATTTCTTATAACTTTTTTTATGAAAATTCTATAAAATTTTTTTAGATCACTTGTATTTTTCTAATGGACAGTAGACATAATTTGTGAAAACGTCTCTTATTGTAATTCATAAACCTTATTTGGAAGATTTTAGGAATACATAATGTTTATTGACTTGAAAAATTGATTGGTAGGTTAAAAATTAAAAACACAATATAATAAAAACAAATAATTAATGTCATATAATGTAATAACATACTTTTATATTTATTTTTTAACAGATTTTAAAAAAACATCAAATTTTTTATACTTTATTCTGTAATGGCATTAGCGATTATTTACGTTCCTTTGTTTTTTTAAATATTAATTACACATAACTATTGCACAAAGATTTAGTACTTCATTAACAATTATATGTTCAATCATCTAAACATTTTTGTAACATTTTTCTATCTCTATTAATGCTTTCTATGGAAAATTTCCCAATGTTATAAGCCATGTTTACTGCTTGTCCAACACCTGTTACAATAAAAATATTAATTATAATGACTAAAGCGTGTTTAAAGAAAGTTGTTAACAAAAGTTAGCGATTTCGTAGTTGATTTTTATTATTATTATTTAGAACTTATATGTTGGTATTATTACTACATAATTTTCTTACTGGATCCACAAGCAACAACACGGTTAGCTAAACCGCATTCAAACGCCTCTTTAGAACAAATATCTCTTCCAGTTAATATTAAATCAATGGCTCTTGAATAACCAATTGAGACCGATAGTCTTTTAAAAAATGCCTCCGACATGAGGGCATCTGATTTTCTGTCTACTGCCATAACGGCATTTTCTTCGACAATACGTAAGTCACACCATAGACTTAAGTCAAAACCCACATTATACGCAAATCCAGAAATAGCGGCTATAATTGGTTTTTGACAATATGACTTAATAAATTCCTATAAAAACAATTAAATGATATATAAAACAATAATCACTATCAGTTTTGAAAAATGAATTAATATTTAAGCCAGGTCTATACTGGTGTTACATTATTACACTTATACAACATTTAAGCGATACTCTATCAAACTGTCGAAAGCTATAAGTTCACAAACATGGTACACTTTTTATAATACAATTTAAAATTAAGTCTCAATATAGCTACGACTCGGCTTTAAATAATCTTTTATCATTACGTTATATTTTTGATACGATTCAATTGATTCATCAGGTTCGTATCCAGCACAGAAAGAACCCCCTTCGCCATACAATACGGCAACGGTAGACGAGTCATTGTTTTCAAAGTCTCTTACAGCTTTTTGTAAACTATCTATTGTAGACGTATTTAATTTGTTTTTGTCATCTGGTCTGTTCAAAGCAATTAGTGTAATATGCTGGTGCTTAGACACATTAATGTCAGGATAATCGTGAATATCTGCAAAAATAATTGAAAATTCTGCAAATGAACTGAGTTATAATTATAAAAAATCAAATAAACATTTTTATTATCTTTTAAAGAGAAAAAGTGTTGTAAATTAACAATGATGACGACATTAGTTTATGAAATATAATTGTGGAATAGTTTTAGTTGCCTGGGTGTGTATCTTGTTATAGTATTCCGTACAATCTCAATAATTCAGCAACATCTAATACTCTTGATACATATAATAATCTGGCTTCTCCCACCCCCCTTAAATAAGCCAAATGTTTCATTGAAATGGTATACATAACATATATACTAGTATTCATAAAAATAATTGTCTTTTGTACGTCTTCCGACTTAAATATATTATTTTAGAGTAAGAATATATTGTACTCTCCAAATTATTGTAAATTTTTGTTCTCATTTGCGTCTGGATATTGAGTTTATAATATTGTACTTTAGAGTTGGGAATTCAATTTAACCACATGGTAGATTATTCTGGTCTGTGACTTCTGTATAATAAAATAAGAGTAATACTTGTAAATCTAGACAAAACTCATACCAGTTGATAAAGATTGAATATTTTTCGATAGCTGTTTAAATGTATTTGATTTATGAATAGAGCGAATCAAATAATTGTATTTTAAAGGCGTGTTAAACATTTTTTTTTTTTAAGAACTGATTACCAAAATTGATAGGTAGACACCACAAAGTTCTAATGTTTTCCAAGTTCTAACGTTTTTCTAACATTTTCTTATCAACGAAATGCGAATCATTTTGATAAGACAGCAGCTGGTCTTATCGTTCCAGTTTTTGATAAAGATTAAAGATAAATTAACAAATAACATGCCTATAAATTATAATAATTATAATACTGTAATTATAATAAATATTGAGTTGTGAAAATATGCTAAATTCTATTAATTATGTATATGGTTATAAATCCTAAATAGTAATTACGGTCTATTATATTCTGTACACGAACTGGCTAACAAGCAAGCAACATGCAAGACTTGTTTATTGTTTACTACTCTAGATATAAGTTGAATAAGAATTTTCATATTTTGTAACATCGCCGTTAATTTAATTTAATGTGTTAACTAGTTCAACATGAAAGTTTTGTATAGCATTTTACTGTTTTTGCTCACGTCAAGATCAATTCAGTGTATGTATTTTTTTTTAAAACATTTATTATTAATTATATATTATTGTATTTTTATAAAAATATTTTGTTTCATTACTAGGTTCAATTTATAAAAATCTCAAATATTTCGATACATTACATGCCTCCGATCTTTCCCATAATATTGTAAAGCGTGGTGCAACGGATAGTCCTCATCCACTTAACAAAATTAAAGAAGTATCATTTTATACTCTGGGACGGTAATATACAAATTTTAAGAAAACGTTTAATAAAATAATTCTAATATTATATTCTATGTAGACATTTTAGATTGATTTTATCACCTAAGAGAGATTTGCTTCATCATCAGTTTGAAGCTATCTCTATTGACGGAGAAGGTGTTGAAACTCCAGTAACAGTTGGTATGTAGGAAAATGATGATTACGATTACTTAACGTTTATTTTCTCACATTATTAATACATTTAATTAAACTCTCATTTTCTATGTTTATCACGTTTTTGTTTTTACTGTAGATCATGACCATTTTTATAATGGTAGAGTATTCGGAGAGACTAGTTCACACGCCAGCGTACACTTAGACAAAGGTGTGATGACTGCTATTATTGATGTGCCTGGTGAAACTTATCATATTGAAGTAAATTTTGTATTTATTTAGCACCAAAAAGTTTAGTTTTGTTTTATTTTTAATTTTACATTTAGCCGTCATGGAGACATTTACCTGATAGAGATAACAAAACAATGGTCACATATAAAGCTTCAGATGTGCGCTTGAGTTGGGAACAATCTGAAAAGAAACAACATAAGCCGTGTGCTTACGTAAAAGAGGATGCAGGTTGGTATTACTCTATAAACAAATACATAAATTGGTAAGTTGAAATTCATTTTGATGTTTAATGTTTTAGAAGTAGAAACTGTGGATGATGATGACGATGACTTAGTTTCCATTACAAGAAATAAGCGTGAGGCAGATTCATATAATTATGTGACAAACCCGACAAAAACCCGTTGCCCGTTGTTATTGGTCGCTGACTATAGATTTTTCAGAGAAATGGGTGGAGGTGATACGAAGACTACGATTAACTATCTGGTAAGTAATTTGTAGTGTTAATTAGTTTCATATTGGTAGGCATGTTAAAAATTGTGAATGATGTTTGGACATTTTTATTTATTTATTTAGATTAGTTTAATCGATCGTGTACACAAGATATACAACGACACATTATGGTTTGAGAGACAAGAATCTGACGGCTTTCGAGGTATGGGTTTTGTTATAAAAAAAATTACAGTACACAGTGCACCAACCAAAGTTCATAGTTTGGAAGACCATTACAACATGGTTAAAGAAAAATGGGATGTTCGTTCGTTACTCGAGGTGATATTTTCATTTGAAATTATAAAGTCTAAAATTTAGTATTTCTAATCGTGGAAATACTAAGTATTTCTGTTTATTATTGTCTTTTAATTTTAATTCTTCCTTTTATTAATATAAAAAAAATAAATTGATTAAAGTGAAATATTATTTCATAACCAGATGGCGAGGTTAATTGCCATTATGTGAGCTATGAGTTTTACAAAATGTAATTGACATTACCTATTCAGTTTTGAGCCATCATTAGACTTAAATAAAAATCATGTCTATTTTATTTTATTAAAGAAGGATAGAAAATGTTATTAAAAAAACAGTATAAAAAAAAAAAAAAAACAACCATAATCATTTTTTGTTTTTCATCCCTGGGTTAACAGTTTGTATTTACAAAATAAATCTTTAATTTTGTGACAGAAATATTAAAGATTTTGATACGAGAATCTCGGTAAGGAAAACGCTGTGTGTTATATTCAATGCTTGTTATTTTTTCTCTATCCATTATGATTGGGTAGCACATCAGTGTTCAACTAAAGTACTTCAATTGTTAGTGATACATTGTGTAGTTACTAAAAGTTTTCTTATAATGTTAAATTTTTATCAAACAATAGTAATTAAAAAAATATATATTGTACCCGCATGAACTAGGTGTTTTCAAAAACAAAAGACGTGTCCAGCTTTTGTTTAGCTCACTTATTTACGCATCAAACATTCAAATCAAAACAATCGTCAGTCTTGGGTCTCGCATATATATCTTCACCTAGGAGCTATGCCATAGGTGGAATATGTAGTCCTGGTGAATATTTCTTAATATTTGCAAGTCTGTTAAAATTAATTTGTATTGGTTGCTTATGAAATAAATAAGTAATTGCTTAAGCTAATAAACATGTTTTAAAATAAAACCACACTAATGCTTTGGAAATACGGTGATGTTGTTTAACATGCATTTGTGTAATATTAAGAAGATTTCCTTATCTAATTAATTTGTTTAGTTGTTTTTTAAATAAAAAAAATATAAATCATGTAAAATGTATGATGGATTCCAATCTACTTAACCTACCTAACCAGACACAAACCTGGGCATTGTTAAATAAATAATTTTTTGTTTAAATAACAAAAAAATGTTTTTAAAAATATTTTTCGATTTCAGTTCTAAATAATTTATTGTTTATAATAATTATAAAAATGTATTTCGTTACTTGTTACTTATATAAAAAAAAATGCTCAAGTTTGAATTAAATTTATATGATTAAAGTTGATACTGCACTTAATTACAAATGTTAAAAAGTAGGTATGATTTTCATAGATTTATTAACATTGTGGTGATGGAAAAAAAATCTTTAAAATAATAATTATCATATTTTGTAATGTTATTTAACTAAGCTTTGCATGAGATTAACCAATGTAAAATACATGTGTTATTGCCTTCGCTGGTGTCAGGTGTTTAGCAGAGATTATAGCCATAAAGACTTCTGCTTAGCACACTTATTCACTGACTTAAAATTCGAAGGAGGTATTTTGGGTCTTGCTTATGTCGGGTCGCCTAGACGTAACTCGGTTGGAGGAATTTGCACACCAGGTGACAGCGAATTTTTGTTTAAATATCAAAAACATTCTCACCAATATTTTATTTGTGTACAATTTCTATTGTAGAGTATTTCAAAAATGGGTACACCCTGTACCTGAACTCGGGGCTAAGCTCGAGCCGTAATCATTATGGCCAAAGAGTTATTACAAGGGAAGCAGATTTAGTAACGGCTCATGAGTTTGGTCACAACTGGGGTTCGGAACACGATCCTGATATTAAGGAATGTAGTCCAACGGCCCGCAAAGGTGGATCATTTCTTATGTACACTTATAGTGTTAGTGGATATGATATAAATAACAAGGTAAGTAGAATTTGATAGATTTTTTTTATAATGTGTTTTTAATCAAACAGGTACTTGTTAAATGGTGTGTTGTTCTTTCTTACAGAGGTTTTCTCCCTGTAGCTTAAGATCCATACGAAAAGTATTGCAAGCTAAATCAGAAAGATGTTTTTCCGAACCAGAAGAATCGTTTTGCGGAAATCTCAGAGTTGAAGGCAACGAAGAATGTGACGCTGGCCTGTTGGGTACGGAAGATAACGATTTGTGTTGTGACAAAAGTTGCAAACTGAGAAAAGCTCAAGGAGCTCGCTGCAGGTAACATATAATAAGTTTGTAATTTATAGCAGTAGTGCAATTAGCAGGCAAGTACTTTTCTCCTCCCGATTTGTCAGGGGTCCACCAAATCCAAATTAAGGAATTAAGCATTTTATAATTTTTTGTATGGTATTTTATCCCTTATAACATCATAGATTTATCTGAACTATTTAAGGAAGTCAAAATGCAAATATTTATATGTATTTTTGTTAATATTGTGTAAACAAAAATGTTCATCTTGTTTTTTTATTTTACATATCTTATTCATAATGCTGCTTGTCAACTAAAAATGATTAAAAAAATACAGTTAAAACTGGTTGCCTATGATAAGATTAGTATTAAAACACAATAAATAGTTATAAAATATATCGAGACAATTTTTTTGTCAAATTAAAAACATTTTTTTTTTTTTTACTTTATATTTACACATCATAAAAACACAATTTAGTTTTAAAATTTAAAAAAAAAACAAGGTAAAACATACAATACCACAGGTATATATACAGGTAAAATTTAATATACATTTGGTATTCCTGCTTAATTTTTCAGTAAACTGTATGCAATTGGAAAAGCACCTACTAATTAAACATTCATTAATGACTTAAGGATCAAATTTGTAATTTGATTATATGTTTTAGTGACAAAAATTCGCCTTGTTGCCAAAACTGCCAATTCATGGCACCCGGAGTGAAATGCCGCGAAGGACAATTCACTACTTGTGAACAAGAATCGAGTTGTACAGGAAACGGAGCTGAATGTCCTAAGAGCTTGCCCATGGCCGATGGCACTGGATGTCTGGAAAGAGGAAAATGCCGCTCGGGCAAATGTATATCTTTTTGTGAAACAATAGGCCTACAAAGTTGCATGTGTGATAAAAGTGAGTTTGATTAAGGAATATGATCGTTTCAATAGTGAGATAATATTGTATATTCATTTAGTTTTGCAATCGTGTATACGGTGCTGTCGAATGAATTTGAACGACACGTGTTCTCCAGTCGATCCGCTTGACATTTTACCCGATGGGACCCCTTGTGTTCAAGGATTCTGCAATAAAGTAATAATACACCAATTTACACAACAATATTTTATTTTAATTCAATCAACTAACAAGCGATATGATGTTTTACAGGGCGTTTGTGAAAAGACTATTCAAGACGTCGTTGAACGTTTTTGGGATATCATTGAAGAAATTAATATCAACAAAATGTTGCGATTCTTTAAAGACAACATTGTTGGTACGGTCATTTTAGTAACTAGTTTAATATGGGTGCCTGCTTCTTGTTTAATTAACTGGTTGGACCATAAGCGTGCAAAAGAAGCACGTGAAAGAAGACATCGGGAAGAAGACAACAACGAATTAGTTCAGATATCTAATGAACCAAGGCCGAAAAAAATAATTTATATCAAAGTTGCGACAAATCAAAACGAAAGTGACGAAGAAATGTAGTTTTTACTTAAAAAAAGACAAAGATCTTTACGACACAGTGAACATATTAACTGTATTACTTAAGCTATTAAATTAAGTTATCTATAAACTTTTTTTGTTTTTACTTTTTATACAATATGTTGTTACTAATATAAGTGCTCGTATGATTTGTTTTATTATACATAAACAATTTATTCATTTTTTCAACAACTAGTGAAAAATAGCATCTAGTCAAACCTGTGCCTATACTTCATATAGTTGATATTTTAAGTTCTGAAATATGTATTGACCAAATTAGTGTAAAAACTCTTTGAAAATGTAACTGTATTTTTTAAAAAATTAGAAAATAAATTTTAGTTTGTTAAAAAATGGAAATTAAATTCTATTTAATCAGCTATAAATATAAACATGTAAAATTGTTACTTATATGTATACTGTTATTACGTTGTGTAGTGGAGTGTTTTTTTGTATTAAAAAAAAATGTTAACATGATAAACATTATTTATACATTTGACCACTTTTCGTTAAATTATTTATTTTTTAACTCTGTTGTTACTTATCAATGCAATAGCTTTAATAAAAATGAAACTAGTTTATGTACTTAATAACTGATGTACTCAATTGGGTTGTTCATTTTTCTTATAAATAAATTCTTTTATAATAATATAACATTTTTTTTTTATTTCTTTAACAGTCAAACTGTCAATTTTTTTTGCCCAATAATTTAAAATAAAAATATTAAATAAATCACTTGTGACATGTTTATAATGTAATTTTGTAATTTAAATACTTGGTCAATCTGTTTATTGTAAAGTGCATACCCACACTAAAATTATAATTGGAAACATCTTTGAAAGATCGAGATTAGAACAAATGATCACAAATCACAATGTTAAACAAAACATTTCAGTAAATAAACTTATATTTTTATTTTATTTATTATGTATAAAAAACAGGTTTTAATACTTTAAGTAACTTATTTACACAATGATTTAACAAAATAATGAGACAATTAGGAGCATTATTTTATTTGTAATTTATATTATTAACAACAACAAAAAAAAAATGATCATTAATTTAATACATTGACATTTATTTAAGCAAAATGTTTTGCTTATGATTAACAGATAACTTGAATAAAAACAATATCAATTAATTCAACTTTGGATAAAAACATTTCAATTAGTTTTAACATTTTATTGTTACATGTTTATATAATATAGTTTTTGTTTTTACATAACTGGTGACATCGACAAGCCTTAATATAAAAAGAACTAATAATAACATTTGATTTAGAATCAGTTTTTTGTAAGTATGCATTCAGCAAGCATTTCTTCAAAAAATAATACAAGTGAAAAAAATACAAAAATATAATCTATGTATTATGTATTCTCAAGTTTGTTTCTTAAATTTAAATTCAATAAAAATATATTTATATATAGCCTTGAAAAACATACAGTCTGTAGCAAATACAGTATTTAATATTTTAGAGTCGCAAAATAAATTTGTTTGGAATATAAACAGTCTAAACTTAATTTACTTTAGAAACAAAAATACATTTTATAACAGTAAAATATCTCATTAATACAATAATTTGAATAAAATATGCCAAACATATTTGTCAGGTACAAAATTAACAAAAAAATAAAATAGAAAAGAAATTAAGAAATTGTACTAATAATAAACTTAATAGTCAATTATACAAACATACATACAGTATATATATATATATATGTATAAAACATTTGTGTAAAGTAAAGCTACCTCTTGTTAACTTCTGAGTAAATCGAGTTGTGATTGATTTCATTTAGATCCATTTTTAAGCTTTCATAGTTTGGATCGTTTTCTACATACTCAGCCGTAATTGTTCTGGTTAAACTTGCGTAGTCAGGTTCGGACTGTCGTTCAACCTTTTTTATCCGAGCGTAACCATGATTTGTTGGTCGTAACTCTTCGTAATTTGGATCAATATCTGGCAACTGAGGAACGTTAGGCTCCATCAGTCTGTCATAAATACCATTGTCATAAATTGGAGGGGGTGGAGCGGGTGGTGATTGTTCAGGCGAATCATTACGTTTTTTCATCACTTTTGCATACATTTCGTCTAGGTGCTCAGGCGGCTTAGGAAGGGGTGAATTAGCGGGTCGTTTCTCAGGTTTTGGAGAATTGCCACTTACTGCACTAGACGAGGAATCTAAAAACACAGTTTAATTTTAAAAACCAATTCTAGCAAACTGATAAAATAATTTGTTTTAGCTTCGATGCGGAGTTGAGTAGGTTTTGTTTTTAGTTAAAAAAACTAATCGTGTATTTTTATAACATGACAAGACGTGGTTGTATGTGATTTTAATAAAAAGCCATATAACATTAAAAAACAAAAATAAAACATGTACGTTGATGATGTGAATGTAAAACACTTAAATTTCCCAAAACAAGATACATGTTAGGTTTTTTTTTTTTGGTAATTTCATTACTATAATATTTTTGTTGTTTGTATAATATAATTACCTATATTTTATCATTTAACCATTTACAGTTTTGCACAGAAGCTTTTATTTGAAAGTGATATACAATCACTTTCAGTTAAAATAATTCTTGAAGACCTGTGACAATGTGACATCCCTGTCCCCAATATGCCCTGACCAACCCCACTGTTCTGGCTTTTTATTTTTCATAATAAGTTTACCTTTTCTGGAATGTGTTTGAATTAGCTCGCTACCATTACTATGTGATGTAGATGGATTAAATACATTATTATTGGATGTCGACGCAACGGGTGCGTTATTTACGCTGGGTATTTGGGCATAGGTTTCACTTCCACTTGTGTATACATTATTGGTTGGATCGATGATTGCTGCATACATTTCATCTGTAAAAATCATCAATGAGGTTTTAGGTTTTTAGGTTAAATATATTTAACAAAAAATAAATAAATTCTGAAATTCATACCAGAATCATCTGAAACAAATGCGTAATGTGGATCTGTAGATACTCCACCGTTACTCTGAACGTTGGCCATAATTCTGGACAATGGTTCTCTGACACTAATACTCGTGTATCCTTCTATAGTTAAAAATTTTAGAATAGAATTAATTTAAGGTTGAATAAGAATTTAAGTTTAGTGACAGCACTATATGAATAGTCTTACTGTTAGAATCATGTGAATCACCACTATAATGACCCTGACGTATTTGTTCATTCAACGGGTTTTCCGTAGCATCCACTGGTGGAGTCATGTATGGAATGTTAACACTAGCAGATTCGTCCCCAGCAATCACACTAGCTGCCGCGATATCTTGATCTGGAATGCCTCTGTCTACAACGTCCATTTCTATAGACTCTGTGGAACTTACTTTATCTAACCTGTAATGACAATTAGTAAACAAATTGTTTAACTCTTTCCTAGATAAATGAATTGCTGTGCACTACATATAAATTTTTCTAATATAGTATAATACCTTTGTGAGCTACTAGACTGATTATTCAGACTGTTGACACCAACTTTAGCATACGGGTGTTCTTGTAACAACTTGTCATATGGATTTTCTTTTTTTACACAAGCGTACACACATTCGCTTTTGGACGCAGTTTCACCGCTAGATGGTGACATTGTGTTACTTGTGTATTTTGATGCATCTTCTTTAACTCCCTTTTTATTTTCTTCAACTGTAGCATACAGCTCCGAATTAGTATCACCGCCATACCATACAGCGGTTGCAACTGCGTCGGATCCTCTAGGAGTCTCTACGGGTAAATCAGGAAGACTTCTCGTAGCCGAAGACAACGTTGCACCAGCAGAACTTCTATAGCGCAACATTACAATTAAAAAATTAAATAAAGTTTTTTTTTTTTTAAATATTATTAGTGTAACCTTTTGGCACTATTTGTGGGAGATGGACTAGTAGACAAATTCCTATCGTCAAGTTCAATTCCAACATCAGGATTTGTGATTTTAACCATGCCAGCGAGACCAAGTAGCTCATTTCTATTACATACCAAACAAAAGCAAAAATAGAAAAATGCATGCTAAAATAATAATAAAATTTAAAAACTAAAACAGAAAAGTAAATACAATCATTGAAGTTCCATTTTACTATGAATGTATCAAATGAAAACCATAACTAACACCTGTTAGTTATAGATTTAATGATAAAAATACAAAATAGAATTGTCTCAATTAGATAATTAACAGGTAATTTGTAATTGAAATTCTTTAAATTTTTCTAAATTTTAAGTAAACTTGAAACAGTATAAAAGAAAACCTATGTAATATGTTTGAACATATTATTTTGACTTTAAAATTAAAAAAAATAATTATATCATTACATATAATTAATTATTAGCTTCTCCTTTAAAATAAAACTAGGCGAAACAATAAAAAGTTTTAAATCTTCCAACAGTTTCATTTCCACGTGTTATCAAAATAGATATAGGTAATTTTTAATTTTTAATAAACTATAGGTAGTGACCAATTTTAATAATAATAAAGCAAACATTATAAAGTAAACAGCTTCTAATATATTAAAATAGACATATCTCTTGCATTAAGCAAATCATTTGGCAAATTTTAAATACATTTACGAAGCAGATATTTAATTGTTTATATCTATTTATGTAGTATAAAAAAAATAAAAGATAATATACATACTTTAAATATATAAAATAATAATAATATCTGGGTAACATGTCGGTTAATAAAAATGACAGATGTACATCCACTTACTTTGGTACAGATTTATGACAACCGCAAATGCAAGCGACGATCAATATGACGGTGGTAAACAAAAGACCACCAGACACGAACCATATTAAACTTTCCTCGATCATTATTACACAATCGAATGATCCAATGATGACATTTTACTACCAATTTTATTCAACACTAAAAACGTCCGTTTAAAATGATAAATTTACGTTTTTAATCAATCTCAAAAGTACATTTTGTTAGTTTTACATTTCTTGTACAGATCATGGTGCATTCTTGTTTTCTCAACCACACCATAATTTCACTAATAATTATTACCGTAGGCACGACGAAACGACGCTGATATCAAGAAAAACGGGTATACAAATTAAACACATTATTAATTACTATATTTATTAAAATTCAATAAAAAAATATAATAAAACGATAAAAGGCACTTTCCAATTTTGTTGCTTTCCGAATAATAAAAAAATGTTATCAATTAGGTATGTTATCATTAAATTTGTAGCATGATGAAAAATGATCACTATAAGAGTAGAGTAGTCCTTGTAGGTTGGAGGAGGGGTACTCCTTAGTGTTGGTTATAATTTTAATGGATACTATATGAATTCTCCCACTTTTTTCTTACTTTTACTTACTTGTAGTTGTCGGTTGACTTGCCAGTGAATCACAAGTCAAATAGTTGTATACGTTTCATAGATAAATACGTTTTTATCTTTTTAACTGACAAGTGACAACAGTCTCGTATGATATTGAAAAAAAAAAATAGAAAGACAACTCTATAGCTAGAAATGAAAAAATATAGTATTTTTTTCTCAAGTATATTACTTTTGAATTTTTGTTTCCTTCGAATGTGCTTAGGCTCATCCGATGAGAATGAAACGACAAAAAAACGGGTATCTCTAAAAACCGAACCGGATTTCAATGTACGACACCTGAACAAACCTTTTAAAATAAATAAGTTAAATTTAGTATGGAGCAAAGCGAAACAGGTTAATGATTTATCATGGCATATAATTGTTGAAAATTCTGTAGTGTAAATTTATATCTTTCAGAAATGTACCGAACCAGAGTTAAGGTCTTTACTGTCGGAGTTGCGCATACAAGATGAAGACGAACGAGAACTCAAGGTGTACAAGACTAAAAACATGGACAAAGATGGAGAAATGGAATCTATCGTAAGAAAAAAACTTTTAGGTAAACATTGTTTTTTAGTATATTAATTAATAGTTTTAACTTTTATTTCTTCATTGACTTTATAACACTGCACTGTTTGTGCAGCTACCACCGACGTCTGTTTGGCATCTTGTATGTCCTGTCTTGTACCATCAATCCAACATTTTACAGGAATTCTTTCCAACCTGTAATTTCATACCTGTAACTACCTGATAACCTGAACTATCTGATTAGTGGTTAAAATATAAAGAAATATAGTATACTTTCCAAAAGAGTTATTTACTTCCATTTCAATTAATAAAGCCAAAACAATGATGTAAAATTAAAAAAAGGAACAATTATATATCTACAAAAAAACTTAATCAACACTTGTGGGATATATATTATAAAATAATTAAATATTTTATAACAATTATGTATATTTTTTTCTATTATTTTATTCAGGTATACTAGAAAGGTACAAATTAAGCTATCATTTTGAAGATGGTGATGAACCAAAAAATAACAAATCAGATTTTGATATACAGGATCGTGTTCCTGGAGATTCCTCGATAGTAGTCGATAAGTACTTGTTACACGACAAACGTTTGAATAAACTCTGGGCTCAAGCTAAGCAATCTGGATTTACAAGTAATGTTGAAAATTTTTGCTTACCTTTTTTAAAAAATATTTTAGAATTTTTTTTTTTGTATAGGTATTGAGTTAATAGCTTTAAAAGAAGAGTTTTTGGAACACCAAAAAAAGATTGATGAATATTATTCCTTAATGAATGAAGTTGAACATATGCAAAACGATATACCAATTGGTAAATAATTATAATTCAAATTGTATTTGTGAAAATCTATCAGTACTAATGTATAACATATATATATATTTAAATATTTTTATAAATTACAGCACTATCAAAAAAAGGACTGAATGATGATCATAATTCTTTGTATGAGACTGATAACTTTGTGAAGTTTAATCACAGACAAAGAGAGTTAGAGTAAGTCTAAAAGAGTCAACAGTACATCCATTTTTGTATTTATAAATTTTTTTAAAAATATCTACAAAACAGGAATCGCATACAAGATATTAAAGATAGTTTTGATCGGCTTCATCGGCTTTCACTCACCGGTCCTAATAGTGAAGAATTCGTTGAACCTAAAGTACAGGAGGTTTGGCTTAAGGCTCAGGCATCTGGTTTTGGTCAAGACGAACTTCAATTGCTTCATGTAATAAGTTGTTAAAGTTACCGTTTATAAAATGTGTGTTAAAAGTAAGATATTTTCAGGACGAATTAAAAGAGTACGAACGGCGTTTATTAAAACTACGACATTTGAACGTGGACTTAGCAGCAGGCAACAAAGACAATCATCAAGATGATCTCGATAAAAAAATCAAAAAAGAATCTAGAACCGTACAGAAACTACACAAAGCAATCGATGATAAAATTAACAAGAGGAGAGAAGAACTTTAGACTAATGGGCGTATATTTTGTGATATATTAAACATAGCATTTACAAAAATAAGGTATTAACTGGTATTTATTATTTGTATTTATTTGTTTATTTAGTTATACACTAATAGCAACTATAAGAAATATATTTATTTTATGTTAGTATTCATTTTTTTATATTTTATTGTAACAATAAATTGTTTATTAAAAGCAAAGAAATAAAAAATTGTTGTTAGTTTTTAAAAGATATTTTTCTTACGAATATGCCTAGAAATGAAAAAACACATTTATCATCCGAAGTCAATTATTTTGGAATAAAAATAATAGATGAGGCAACGGATATTATTAAGGATGGAAATGTATGCAGTCACGGCTGACAAACTATTTTGAGCTTGATGCTTATAAAGTATTAAATATTTTGTTAATTGAGAGACTAAAGAAGACTTCGGGTTTCCAGGTAACCCAAATTTATAAAGGACCAATGGTAAGAGGACTGTATCACGGTCTCGGGTTGATGATATGGCAAGAAAACAATAAACAGCAGATATATAATGGTTATTTTTACACTAGTTATATTCACGGGTACGGACGTATGATTTATGCAAATGGATCTGTTTTTGAGGTAAATGAGTAAATAAATGCATTGTAATATTTTTATTAAATACGTTGTTGACGACGTCAAAGACATTGTGGTCAACTCGATGGTTATGTACTCTCCAACGCTAGCAGTCACTTTCTTGAACAGTTGTCTTCCTTCATCAACTTATGTTGTGCTATTATTAATATACATATTATATCAAATACCTGTTGTTTACAAGTAGGGTATATACAAAGACAATCGACGCTTTGGTCCCGGCATATTGACTTACGTCAATCAACAACAGGATGTAGGTTTTTGGTTTGGTAACCGAATGTTGCGTACAATTTCTGATGTAACCTGGCAGCTCGTACAGTCGTTTGAAGCTTCCAACACAGATGGACTCATCAAACAACTCCAATTTAGAGATCTCATAGACTTGACTCAAGTAAGTTGAAAACAAACAAAGAGCGTTTCACATTTTATCCCTAAGTGTCTAACCAGTACCTATGTGCAAAATACTAGGAACCTCATGCAATTATCACCTTAAGAGACAGGAATGAAGAGTATCTAAACACTAATCATTCCTACGCCCACACTAAGGATTACAAGAGTTTGTTTTTCGACGTCCCTAAGTATAATGATGTTTTTTTCCGAAAAATTACTCAGATGACATCGGCAATCAAATTGAATAGTGCCAATTGTCGAAACGGTAATCGGTACAAACTCGGTCACAATTTAGAAGATTTTATACAAAAGTATTATTTGGTGAGAACAATCAACAACTAGTAGATATGTCTAAATGTATCTTTGACTCGGGTCGAGAACGACCAACCTTACTTTTTAGAACCATATATTTATTTCCCAAAAAGCTTAGTTGTAACAATTTTTTTCCTATAAAACTTTATAACTAACTTTAAAATTTTGTCCTGGTAGTGCAATTTTTTTAACACACGGTAAAGGTATAATTTTTATATGTTTACTTATCCAACTCATTTTTGCTTTAAAGTGACACGGGCTTCTCATGGTCCTAACCCCAGGTAGGTATAACTAACATTTATGCTATCAATAATTAAAAAATAATTAGTTCAGGCAAAGAACAAAAGTAATACACGATATTGATGTCGAGTTACCTATTCTTACACGTGGGTTAGCTAAATGTGGTGCGTTAAAGTCTCGATCCACGATTAAATGTTTTTTTTTTCAAAATACAATCTAAAAAAACGAGGAAAAGTAGATTTATACTAAATTACCTCATTTGTATGTGATAAGGTGAAAAGGTGAAAAAGAAGATGTACATTTTGCGTTTTAAATGATTTATTCTTGTTTGTGCAATTTATTTCAGTAACATTGTATAGTTAAATAATTTAATTGCGGTTATTATTATTATTATTACCAAAATATTATTTGCATTACATTGATGTAATTATTAGATCTTCTATGAGTGTATAATACTGTATGATTAGATAATACCAAGAGAAGAATCGTCACAATCGGTCACACAGTTTTTGTTGACCTGTGCTATTCAATTCGGTGAAAACATCGAGGCTCTTGGCAGGAATTCGTGGACACTTGACGAGAACGAACTTGACCATGCCGAGGATGTGGAATCTGCACAATTACACAAGCCTAGTATTTTTCCACGTCTGTTGGCCTACAATAACAACACTTTGGATAAAATGATAATGGCCCATATGTTTCAACAAAAATTTGCCGAAGTAAATAGCTGCGAGGTGTGTGCTCGTGTGATTGTCACGTTTGTGCTGAGACTATAATTTTCAGGAGAGCATATTTATCACCATGAACGATTTGTGGGAAGGAAAACGAGACGTGTTCGGGTCGCCCGGCGATCAAGAGCTGGCCGCCAATTACCTTTTGACCGAATTAGACCTTAGCCCGGACCACGTGCAAAATCATATTTTGGATTCTAACATCGAAGTGGACGTAGCCGATTTTCGTGGCAACACTCGTCTGATGATCGCCGTCGTACGCAGCGCCATTTCTCCACAAAAAAATCCTTCTGATTTCTTATTTCTGGTTTCATTTCCAGGCCAACGATCAACACGATATCATCCATTGTCTAGTTGGTCTCGGTGCTTACCTAGAGTGTTGCAACGACGACGGGTTTACCCCTCTAAACATGGCTCTGATGCGGTACGTTTGCTTGCTAAACAACATCAAACGTTGGAACGAATACGTGATTCCCCACGTGGTTTTGAAGTTTAACGTTAAAAAAGGTAATTATCAATATTAATCGTTGATACGACCAAACTGATAACGGTTCACACTAAAACATGTCGAACAAGTGGCATTTGCAATTGAAACTTGTATCATCTTGTAATGGAACCTTCATACATTTATATATTTATTTACATTTTTGTCGAATTTTGTTTCGGACCCACTGCGGAATCGATTTCCAAAGCATACCTAATAGGTATACGAGACAGTATGGCTGCATATATTCGACACAAATGTAGATAGTGACATGATTTAATAATAGTTTTTTTAGTAAATAACTGATCCTTCCAACAGGCTCTCAAGTTCTCGTGTTAAAAAATAAACGAAATATCAATTTTTTTAGTCCAGAAAATTTAGTCAATCTTATAGTGAGTACTTTTATACCTATTTTTTCCCAAACAATTATTTTGCTAGAATAGTGACTAAGGAGTTTTTCATATGACCTATTCACTATATATATATATATATATAAATATAATTAAATGAATAAAAAGTAAATCGAAAAAGTGCCTCGACGTGGAATTCTCGTGCATGCCACGAGGAAACCAAATATAATTAGATAATTTCATTGCTGCGGATATAATAATTAGGTTACAGACGAAACGAATATTATGAATGCCGAAAAATCAATCTTCAAAATAAAACAATCTGTTATGATGAAGTATGAATTTAGATTTTAAGGCATCTATATACTACAACTCTAATTGAAAATTGTCTCTTAGACGGGTAGTTTATAGTTCGATTGAAAAGACCATTTCGATTCTGTTGAATAAAGGAGCCAAAACGACTACTAGCTGTACCCCAAGATCGAGTATTCATATGGCTTTGATGACGTGCAATTATCACATTTTAGAATCCGTTATTAAAGCGGAAGGAGATGTACACTACATTTTGACTGATGAGGTACCTACTACCTAATTATATATGTTTACCTATCACCTTCATTTAAAACAATTATAGTTCAATATTAGTATTGTATTGTAATTACCTACCTAGTTCCTAAGATAATTCATCGGTTTTGTTGTAAGGATTATAGACTGAATCTTTTACACATGGCTGTCGTTCTACCGATTAACTACAACGTAATTAACTGCATCAAAGTACTGATCAAGCATGGCGTCGATTGCAATCACAAATCGATTGTAATATCAGTTTATTAAATTAATTTAATTTATCATAATTACATTAAAATCATAAAACAACTGCATTTATTTAGCCCATGTATAGCGTTTTTCGATTCGCACTACCTTGGCAAAATATGACGGATTCTAGACCCACTATGACGGCTTTGGATGTACTGTGCTTAAAAGAATGTAAAATTGCAAATTATAGTAAAACTCCATTGGTCGAAAAACTGGAAAGTGAATTGGCTATTTTGCTTTATGATCTTGTCAATAAAAACCATACTTTCTGCGGTCTCAATCCCGTAGCGCTGGCAATGTTGACTGGGAAATATGAACTGACGAAGAATCTGTTAAAAAATGATCAAACATCAATTAATAAAACGTTTCCTGCGTTAGGTAACCTAGTAACCGTGCTGCTAAATTCCAAGTACAACCTAAACTTATCTAAAAGACAGCAAGTTGAGTTGTTAATCCTATTATTGGAATCGAATGTCAACTCGTTAAGAGTTGTAGAAATAACCGACCAGAAATTCCGAGGCAACGCTTGCGATTACATTAGTTTTTTGTCGAACTTCGAAAAGTAGGCGAACGCATCGCATCTAAAAATATCACAAACCACAATGTTTTCTTTTAGGCCAGAAGCTGTAGTTACTGGGTTACATTCGAGTTATCTCAAAGATACTCACTTGGACAATTCAATAAAATCAATCAAGGAAAAATGTTTACACCAAAATGGAAGATTAATTTTGGATACGCTTTACAAAAATAAAGCTAAAGATATTTTACTGTACGTGTTAATGAATGATGATCAGGCTGTTCTTTAAAAAAAAAAAATAATAAAATAGTTAGCTAAGCGTGGTCAAGGAAATCACCGGTCAATCGCCAGTAAAATCATAAAGTCAGCACAGTCAGTAATTATAGTTATTCAACTGCGTTCAGTCGTTTAGAGGGTTGTCAATTGTAACGTAATCATAAAAGAGATCTTGAGGTTATATTCCGAAAACCCTAATTAAATCATTTTTTTATATATCTGTGCCAAATGCCAAGTTTCTTTTTATATGTCAATGCGGATTTAACAAATTTAATTTCAGGAATTGTACTTATGAACGACGACCCGGTATGAATGTGTCAGATTATAATAAGGCTATGGTCCTTTGGTTGGACTCGGGATTTGAAAACACTATAAGACAAATAGAGAACGGTCGCATCTATCAACCTCAAACGCTGCCTACAAAAACAAATAATAACATAGTGCGATAGACTCGCTATACATATAATATATGTAGTAGACACTTAGAGTCACCGAATCCTAATATTGAACTTATTTTTAGGCAAACATTGACGTTGTAACTTATGTGGAGTACTTAAAGAAGCTTAGACGGACTCCGGTGGATAAAGCCTTGTTTAGACTTACTCAAGTACGTGATCGATTAGACGATACATCGGAAACTTATAATGTACAATCTTCATTGATTTGCTGTGAATTCAAGGAAGAAAGCGAGGTGTGCTACGAATGTTTGACACATTCATCAAAGCAGATGACCGCTTGCTCGATTTGTTACTTTGCGTTGGTCTGCTCGGATGAGTGTAAAGAAAAACACGACCAACGAAGGTGCAAGGTAAAGTTTCGTAAGAACTTTCTAATAGAAATTCAAAAGGATTTCCAAAAGCACAATAAAGTGACAGAGGAAACGATCGATCGACTCCTACATAACCTCGAATCGAAAATTTCATTAAGCTCGTTTTACCCACAACTTTCGGGTAATATATCTATTTATTTTTAATTCATACCCAAATGTTAATGCTTATCAAAATGGCTAATACCACCAGTTGACGATATCAAGTACAAATCCGAGTACAAATTATTATCTCACCAACATGTTGGCAGAACGAGCTCCGCAAAAGAATCTTCAGGTATGACTTAACCGTTTTTGAGCCAGTGCCAGCAAATTAAATTTTGTTTGACAATTATTAGACAAATAGGTACCTAGTTCTCAGTTTTAGTAGTGTGTTAGCGTCATCACTTCATATTAAGAGTACTGCACTTCCCATTCCTTTATTCATTACTGCCATTCGCCATAGGCCAATGAAACAATTAATATCATTGAAGCTAATGAAATTTTTTTTTCTCGACATATATAGTCCACGCTATACGAGTTACTAAGTTTTGTATTGTATAGATTTCGTATAGTTGTAGTCAACTTAAAGGCGGGTTAATAAAAGGTATTCAAAATTATCTTAATTTATCTAACGCCTGACCCTTTTGCACTTTTCATTGTACCTACTGTAACTGTTAATGGATAAGGTCGTATTCACTGTACGTTCCATAAAAACTGCACCTTAACTACACATCACGAATCTTTGCCCGTACGCCCGTCTTATAGTGATAGTATGTATTTTATTTAATAATAAGTTTTTTTCTTGATTGGAATATAATATAATATCATACTCCCATTTAAGTCTTATATCGTTCGACGACAAGTAAAGCCTGCGTTTTACACTAAATTTTCGATATGCTCAAGAAATTGACTAAATAAAAAACATAGTCACGATAATAAAAATATTTTTTTTCTGTTAATTATCTTCCATAAAGTTTTTTTTAAACATATATGACCCGGTTTCATCTTAACTAAGTGGGTTCATGTCTGGATATTAGTTATTATAGAACTGTCAAATTCCAAAACAAGTTCTTTCGTATAGTATAAAGTACGTGTTAATTTCGTGAAAAGTAGGTAAATGAGATAGTATAGAAAATTAAAAAAATAAGCGTTTCCACTTCGTGCAACAGGCTAAAGAATAACGTAATGAGAGTAAAACCGTTAAAATACAATATATATGGTAAAATCTAAGTAGCTTGTTTTCCGAATTTTTGGTTTTGCTATTAAAAATAGATACGTTTAAGGATGAATCGCTGAATGGATGTAAAAATTACAATAAAGCTGAAAATATTTCTATATCCCAGCGATAATTAATTAAATAACACCCTCGAAGGATGTACAAATAATCCTTACAATAATAGTAGAACAATGCTAAAATTATTATTTCAGAGTAGTTGACTTAAGTTTGATAGCTTAATATGTATTATAGTTTACCCTTTATAGTTCTAGTGTAACCAACGATTCATTCAGCTTTTATGAAAAAAACTTTTTCGTGTAAGATATCGGTGAAAAACAAATGTTTTTAAGTTTCGACTGACTTGTTTAACGTGGCCTTACCTAAACATGTTTTTACCAAAGATGGTTTTGATGGTAAAAATATCACTTGTGAATAATACAGCTGTTACCAACAGGGTCAAATCTATTTGGCGAATTCAATTTCGAATCTGAAGAAGGACTTTCTGACGAGAACAGCGAAATTAATCACGAGTTATCCGACAAAAATAATTCAATTTCTCTTGGCAACACGAATGAACACAATAAATTCAACGCTAATAATATGGAGTTTTTGAAACAGTGGCGTTTCGCTTACAAAAAGGATTATTGGACCATGAGACAAACCTGTAGTGGAAGAATTTTAGAACCAGATGAGCAGTCCATACTCAAATATAAGACTGTGAAAATTCCTGGTTGCGGCAGGCCTGTTTTGCTGTTATTAGACCGGAATTGCGTGGAAGATTCGTCTTCGCTAAAAAAGACAACAGGTATAGAAACGCCGCCATGTATGTCAATGTCTTATGCCGGTCAAATGGAATACGAATTAGGAGATCGCCGTCGTAACGTATTTCACAACTACACCCAAATTTAGACTTTTTTATAAAAAAAAAATACATATATATTTATATAAAAAATGGAATCCACGATTCGTTCAAAATACTCTAAAGTCATTAGCCAGGTAATCGTACACAGGTCACAAAAGTGACTACCCTCTACTCATAATCCTTTTACCGCTATTGTATTATGATTTTCATACTCTTTCTTTATAATGATTTTTATATAATATGGCACTGTTTTTGCGTCTGTCCTATTTTACCTGTAGTGAAGCACAGTCTTGAAATATAGGTAAGTGGCACTTGAAAAACATATGATAATTTGGTACATCAAAAATATTTATGCTATCTAACTTGAATTTAACTGTTATTTTAAACCAGATCAACTAAAAAAATTGTATTAAATCAGTTATAGTTTTATAGCAATGAAAGTAAAAATTACAAATTATTGTATAATTAGTAGTTTTTCAGTTTTGCACCAGAACTAAAACTTTTGCACAAATTGGTCATAAGTCACAACTTACAACAGGAGTTACAGTCCACTGATAGTATAAACTCTAATTAACATTAAAATTCAGTTTTTTTTTTTGAGATTGTTGAAGTCGCTAATATTTTCAAAGAGTATAAAATCAGCGATAAACGTCAGAAAGCTTACGTCGACTTACGAAAAATTATACTAGATAATAATTACTGAACTGTATAGATTCTATTAAGGTATACGAATTATAAATAATAAAATACAATGCATAATAAAAATCTTTATTAGAAAAAAAATGAACTGTAGTATTTATTTTATTATTCATTTTTAAAATTATTAATACTTTTTTTACTATTTAATTTTTGTATTGTTTTTAAGTTCAATTTAGCAAATTGTAAACGTTTCATTGTAATTGACCTAACCTAATCTGTGTAATCCCATTTGTGTCTGTAGCGTTCTTCCTCCTTACGCCTTTTTTCCGCCCACATCTTAATGTTGCCTTCGGAATTGGCAGCTTTATGGATCTTACAGATAATTGGAAAACTTAAGATTGATGCTGCAATGAACCATGGAAACATCCAGTGATGTTGAAAATGAAGCTTGAATGGAAATTGGAAAAATTTAGCAGTATGCGTATAAGGGTAAATCATCCTGCGGCTCAATCTCTCATCTTTGAATTCCGCCGTAGGTTTTTTTAATGAAGAAAACAATTCCGGGTTTTTTAATGAAGAAAACAATTCCGGTTTTTTTAATGAAGAAAACCATTCCGGTTTTTGTAATGAAGAAAACCATTCCGCCGTAGATTTTTTGAATGAAGAAAACCTGTTAAATAAAAAAATACTTATGAAATATCACAAAGGATAGAAATTATTTTGGTTTTTCGGTTCTGTGGACTAATTTTGAAAATTCATTTTTTTTAATTTATATTATATTAGGTGATTAAACGAACGACGGTAAGGTTATATTAAAAACTACTTCTATACTGAGATGAGGAAAAAAATTGAATATCATTTATCGCCTGCCTTGGGTGATTAAAAAAAACCTTTAAATAATTTTATAAATTTATATATTTTTTGTTCTTTGGAAAAAAAACTGATTACTTTTTATGCTGATAGTTTTCATATAAAACATTTTTTAAAGCATTTGTTATAAAACCTAAAAAATTGACACTGACCACTAAACATTTTGTTTAATTTTTTTTAAATATATGAAAATTCTTATTTTTATCTATATTCTTAAGAAAATAGAATTGTATTAAGATTCTTTTAATCATCCTACCAAACACCTATGGATAAAATAATTATTCTTATAAATAATAATTACCTAATAATTACTACAACAGAATAAAAAAATTTAGTAAGAAATATATTTTTGAGGTAGTAGAAGGCAACAAGGGTGTTGTGTAACAGAAAGGTATCATTCAGTGAGAAAGTTTTATAAAACGGCATAGTAGGTAAGGTGTTGATGATAAGCAATGATGTATGAAAATAAGTGTCGGGTATTTAATACGAAAGACAAAAAAGAAAATGGAAGAGGCAATTTTTGAACAGAACGATATATTAGATAGCCGACACCATTTCCTTATACATATATAATTATCTGATTATCAAAGTACTAATAGCAGTTACATAAATTAAACGTATACATTACATTTTAGATACGATGCAAAGCCGTGAGACGCCAATACGATATTGGTTTTGAAATGTTTTCTTTTCTTTTCTGAAATACACGAAAACACAATATTGGAGTTTGATTGATAGTTTTCCAGGAAAAGTAAACTGAAATTTATAAGTACACAACGTTACGTCTGGCCGCCTGAATGTGTATCACTCATATGCGCCGGATTTAACCCTTTCATAAGACCCGTGTAACCGGAGTAGTTTAGTTAAATTAAATCCGTGGCTAAAAGATCAAAGTGTTAATTTTAAAAACTATTTACTTACTCGGCGCTGAATAATTATTGCATTTTTTTAAAATATGAAAACATTTTTTATTATGATATTAAAAACGTAGTGTTAACAAAAGAAAATGGTGGTCACGATTTGGAACGGCCAAGTTGCGTTTGTACACAGCGACGCGTCATCGTTCATTGGCGGTCAACGCGGTTTGCAACGTCTTTGACTCTCAACGATTGCTCGGCCATCAACTCATCGCTTCACGTCCAATTGCCGCCGCCACGCAGAACCCCGTCATTCGCATCTATCGCCAATCCCTGGTTTAGGCAGATTCCATTTATATTACCGTCGCGTTTTCGCAAAATATTACCTATGCAAAACACATTCACGGTTTACCGCCCACCGGGCTCGTGCAATTTCTGTAACATTTCATTCACGTTCACATATTGATCATTTGGTACTGATTTGGTATATTCTAAGATCGTGGGCAAACCAGCTAAAGTATTAAAACACGTTAAATGACCAAAAGTATACATACAAAAATAGAATTATTTTAGACTATCGGACAAGTTCACGTGTATTATGATAGACTAAAATTGTATTTAAATAATTTTTATTCAAGTAAAATTTATTTTAAAAGGAATTTAATTGTTATTTATTTAATAGTAAGTCCAAATCCAATATGATCTCCAGAGACACAAACAAAAAATCTGGTACTATTTTTTTTTATTTCGTTAAGGCGGGCAAGCACGTTATAATAAAATTATCGAAAGAACCCATTCAACAAATCTGAAAAATATAATATAGGTATAATTTAAATATTTCTCACAATAATAGATTTAATGAAATATACAACACAAGCACTCTCGGTACATCCCTTGAACAGTACAGCTGTTCTGGCCCCACTGGCCCCACTGAAAGCGATAATTGCGTGTGAGCGATTCCGCAATTTTACACACCAGATGTCCACCAGCGATTTTGGTGGGGACACTTTAGCGTTTTTTTATGTCACGCGTGTTCATTTCTACATTCATTTTCAAATGCATTTTAGGTCATTAACATCCGAGCTCTATTTTTATTTATTTTATTACTAGTATTAAAACATATAATTTATAATAACTAATTTAATAAACATAAATATATAACATTAAATAATTAAATTACCATCAATTTTATCAATTTTAAGGTTTTGTCCTATAACAGACCTACAACATCTCAGGACTTTGTTTCGATTTCTGTGGTCTGGGTGTCTCGGATTCCATATGGGTTCTTGTAGGTATACAGCAGCAGCAATTTGTTCTGACATAACCGACGATGATACCATTTTAACAGCGATTAATCGCCGAAAATCAAACAATTTTGTTTTTTCAGCGATTCTCGCGCGTGTAGCTAAAATCGTAAAACGCTACACGCGGTCAGTAGGGAGTAGGGACACTACATATTTATTTCTATACTGTTGATAAAATCGCTAAATCGCCAACACGCTACACGCTATCGCAAAAACGCAAATCGCTCTCAGTGGGGCCTTAGCTTACTCGTACCTCGGTTAACCGAGTCAGCTTGATAATAGCTTATAGAAAAATAAAAATGAATAAGATACATATTTTTTAATGATTATCAAACACATTTAAGATACAAAAAGCAGATTCTACCAAATCCTTGTATACTGTTTGATTTTGAGTTATATTTTAAAAATTATAATTGTCGAGCGCAATTTTTTATTTTGCAAAAATTTGATCCTGATAAATTTCTTAGCACGTCAGAGTAATTAATTGGTCAAAAGGTGTGTTCAGTATATCTGGCAGAACATAATAATATGTAGAACAATGGCTGTCAAACTGTCATTAATCATATAATTAGCTTTATATGTTGTACAAATTATTAATACATAATAATTACCAATCGGGTACAATTGTCCTTGTTGAAGTAATTGAAATGTCAAATGTGTGTTCATACTTCATTATGAAAATTGTACTACGTAGAAATAAATGCAAAAGTCAGTAGGCTATTAATAAATACCCGTCTTTGAGTGTTGTATCCTTATGGTTATTTTTTTAACTGAATTGGATAAAATATATAACACATGCGTTTTCTTGAATATCGTATGTCCAGACATACATTATTATGTTAAATATCACAACGTACAACATAGGAATTGCGCGGATTAAATAATAAATTATACTTAAATATTCGATTTACAGCGATGGCACATACACCGGTAGACGGTGGTAAGCCTCTGGATACATTTATTCATGTCTAATGCTTCCATCGGTTATTGTTTGTGTTCTAGCACTACTATTACAACCGTACTTTCACCGGTGTTTGAAATTGTATGTAAATACAATCGCGAGACTTTTGATCTAAACAAAAATACGTCATGTACTAAAAAACAAAAACATTATGTGACCATAATACACTATTCAGATTTTTCGTTCATACTTTCACTTTTATCTATTTGAAAATGATAATATTTAACTTTAGAAAATGGTCAATGGGTGTATATATATTGAATATTCTCATTTGTTTAATCTAGCGCTATTATGATTTTTATTTGTGTGTCTAGCCACACGATTACTTTTTAACCACCGGACTGATTTTTTTATGTGGCAAATATATAAAATAAAAAACCGTACATTAAAGACAAATAGTTTTATAAATTCGGAATTTTGTTGTGGTATACTTTAGGTATTTAAAGATAAACAGGTTTATGCTGATATTTCAATAAAAAAAAAAATATAATTAAATATCATAAGTTCTTTAAACCTAGAAGGGGCTGAAATTTTTTTCTGTGTTTCAGTTTGAAGAGGAAGGGTTAATTTTTGAACTAATTGTTTTAACAGCTATACTTGAATTGGCTCCAGTTATCAAAATCCTATTTGATTGTACTCCAAATAGGACGGTTTAAAAAGCATAGGTAAATTTTTTAGTAGACATTGTTTATACTTGCTATGCTAGGGTGAGAAATAAATAACAATAAGGACAACAAATAAGGATTTGCATTTGTTTGTACTAACATAAAAATTAATTCAATTGAACATTTTTTTTTTTTTTTGACAAATTTCCTTGACACGTTAAGTAGTATACTAGTATGTCTGGCACCCTACGATATGCGTAGGTATTACAGGATTTACTACCTAAAACTACCAAATATACCTAAAGTATTCAATAAGTGTTGAAACTTAACCTATTTTAACACGTGTGTATGACATATACACGGTCACATAATAAAGAAAATGTTATGTTTTAGTAATCCCGGGTCTGAAGTATTTTTTGACGAAGCCAATTCAACACTTGGTACATTCTTAATATTCTTACAGGTCAATTCAACAGTACATTAGAAGGAAATATCGACTACCTGATTGTGAGAACCATTTGAGTGAACTGATTTGGACTTATAGTAGGTCTAGTGAATACCTAGAAATTATAAACAAATTATTTCATAAATTTGTAGCCTATCCTTTAATCTTTGACCTCTCTACTGTGCTAGCTTATTTTTTCTTTTAAATTTAAAAAAAAACATATACACGATTGCACAATTATTATTTTTCTCCGGCTTTGTATTTACGCGAATATTATTATTATTCGATTTAATGTATTCATAGATTCACGGTGTTCGCGTAAACTAGTTTACACCCAACTATATTATTATGTGTTGTAATAATATCGAAACGCAATAACTAAATCAGTCCACAATAGCTGTAGGTACCTCTATCTTTTCTATACCTACCCAAACCCACGTGTAGGTAGTGGGTGGTACTTGCCGCGTGCACGACCTTCCGGTTTAGGTAAATCGGAGCAATTATACGTTTTTTTTGTTTTTGTTATTTATTTGCATCGACCTTTCTGTATCATCGTCGCGTTTACTGTACTATTATTGTCTATACACGTTCGTCCGTAAAACGTGCACATATATAGGTAAAAATCAACAATCGCACACACCTTACTACGCTTACCTATAGTATGGTATATGCGGTTACGACGCATGCGCTCGGCTAACCTGCACCTTCTGTGCTTAGGTGTACCTGGTCCAAGGTTCCGCTGTACTCGCCCACTCGTTGCGTGTATGGCATTAACGTCGTGCCGGGCGTCCTCACCCGTCAGTACTTCACAGTCACCCGTCGTCAGTGGTGTTGCGTTCCGTTCGTTTTTAAAAAAAAAAATAATTCTTGTTTTTTTATTTCAAAAGTTAACTCCGAATGCCGTGTCGGGACGTTTGAAAATACTAAAACACAAAACCCACGGACCCGTGCGGTACACTTGTATAAAGACATTTTTGGATTTATTATGTGAAAAACGCGAGCACTCCCGGACAGTCGTGTACATTTAAGTAGTTCGTTAAAGTCTCCGACAAATTTTAACGCCATGGCGACTTCGATTCGTCTGATCTTTTCCATCGGATTCTGCATTTCGGTGAGTCGCATATTCAATTTTTATTATACTTGTATTTGTAACAAGTAATATTTAACGTCTCCTCCAATGTACCCCCGTCGTCTACTTACAAAGTCACAACAAACGTGATCATATACCTACTTAGTTACAATTTTATTGTTTTGGAACGGTTAAGAAACCTGTAACAATTGGTGTTACTAAAAATACAACGTACAACTTGTTGATAGACGATTCTTATAGTTTTTAATTCGCCATTCGAGTCACGAGAACGAGGCGATAGAAATTTGGCGCCTAAAAATACGTTTTCTAAAACATCCAAGTATATTGTTGTTTAATTATAATATTACGCATTAGAAATTGTTCAGTAACAAAATATATTAATTATTAAAATATTTTACACAATAACCGGTGATACGCACACAATATAAATAAAATATGATAGGATATTTCTAAATTGTAAATTACACTCTAAGCAGTTAATTACAAGACTATACAATTATACAATACGGGGGAAAATGCGTTCTCACAAACATAAAAATTGTTTTATTTTAAATTTAAAATTTTATGGTTGTATATATCCATTATCTATTTTAATAGATAATATGTATTACAGCTATTGATATTCTATTACCTGCTTAGATGTATTATATATTTATTTACGTATATTTCATTAGAGTAGTTTAACCAGTTCGGCACAACACTTCATGGTAGATCTAAAAACAAACAAAATAACGTAAAACATTTTTGTGGTATAAAATACAACTTTTGTGAATAAATAAAACAGAAATGATGTTGATTTCAAGTTTACTGCGTGTAAAGTAACCAGTTTTTCCATTTAAGCACTTATCAATGGTCCGTCCGTGTACAGTGTATAATGTATATAGATAACGTTGTAAAAGTTGTATATATTATAAAATTATGTACTCATTGTAATTAATAAACAGTTTGAATATTTCGCTTAGACGTTATGCAACTTTAACCATTCATAAGTGACACTTTTATTTATTTATTTATTTGATAAACAGTAAATTAAATTATTATTATTATCAACGTAATAACGTAAATTAGTTGAAGACTTTATTCCCTAATTTATACATTAAAAAAGGAAATTTCGTGTAGATAATATACAAGTAAATAATATTTAGGTATATTTATTGTCGTACCTACATCGTGGCCATGAACGCAGAATATAATATAATATTATGCGAGGATCTATTTGTAAATATGTGTAACAAACACATCATGTAACCAGAAATCATACTCCGTATCAAAACCATAATTTTATTATAATAGCGAAACATGTTTCTTTTTTTTTGTATTCTACAATACCATCAACTTTTTTTATTATGCAATATCCATGTTTTATTGAACTAAATTTTCTTCTTAATTACTAAATCATATGTAAGTACACAATAAAGAATTACTTAAATCCTATGTAGAGAAGCTGTTTTCTTTAATTAATCAAATTATACTTTAAATTAACGTGTCAATCCAAAAAATCTTTAATTACTTTTTGATTTATTTTATTATATATTGTACGAATATATAATACGATTGTATAATGCATATTATATAACAATGTAATGCGCTAAAACATTAATTTTTTTTTTTAGTCCCTTGGTCTGATTTCACCTCAATCTTACGACGTCACCTTGTAAATCTTTGGTCCTCTTATTGGAATAACCTACCTGCAAACTTTGCTTATAGATTTAAAGTTATTGTCCCTAATATACACAATAAAATCTGGTTTAAGAATTTAAATTTACCAAGGTCTACGATCTTATACTAATACGATCGTACGTTTTAATCGTTTACGCATCGGTCATTCTATGTTACCTTCCTACGCCTACAAATTAGATCTAAACGACTCCCCTATGTGTATCTTCACGCTGAGGTGTCTATTTGCGATCTTCCTCATATACTTTTTAATTGTCTAAACGCGATATTTTAGCTAATTTCTTTAGATCCTTAAAGTTTAAACATTCCTTTTAATATCTATTCTATGCTCAATTCTAATTCCGAACCTCCCATCCTACAAATTATTTCCTTTATTATCAAGGCTGGTTTTTCTATTTAATGCATTTTGTTAAGTTTTGTTTTAATTTTGTATATTTATATTAGCCACTCTTGTATTGTTTAATTTTATGTAATTGTCGAGATATATTGTATATATGCAGAATCTCAAAAAAAAAATAAAAAAAAAATTGGTTTTCTTTATTTTCAAAGAACATGCATTCTCGTGGGATGTTTTTATAATTTCCATACTCGTTAAGTAAAAAAACACTTGAGACTTACAAACATTTATAATAAAGAAAATGCAAACAGCCGTTAAAACAGCTATGCTTGTTTAAAATATTTCTACTTTCTAATAATTTTTTATTATTACGAATGTGTTATATTTTCTCTACGAGAATTAGTTTTTCCTTTGGATAGGGATTTATTTTTTATTATTTATAAGAAACACGGCGTTGGTTAGGCGAACATTAACGTATAAAATAGATCATATGTATAAAATATGTAATGGCATTTATAAAATCACTATAACTGTTTACACATAAACATTGAGCCTTATAGTCACGCAAGGAGAGTAGCCATAATATAATATTACAGTGTAACAAAAAACAATCCATAGGTCAGTAAAACGCAACATACCTGTAGTATAAACTATATATTTGTCCATGTATACAAGTTGCAGGCGCACTAGCCGGTTAATTTATAGCCGATACAGTTTAAGTACAAACTGGGTCATAACTCATAAGCATACATTATGTATAATAATATATACATGCGTTTAAAACATGAAGAAGTAACTACATACATATCATATTATTAATTATTTACTGGGAAGAGAATAGTAGCATTAACAGTTAGTGCCTATTTACATATTTTGAACCCGATCATTATGCTGCATAGTGTTTAGTGTATAACACTAACTCGATCAGATTAGAACTTTTTCTTCTAGTTATTGGACGCTAAAGTGCTTTCAGTTCAATTCATGATCGATGCTTTGTCTATTATCATTATTATTATTATTACTATTGTTATTATTAACGCGGTGTCATCGTTTATTGAAGATTAATAGATATTGTAGATATGTCCAGCAATACCTAATACCTAAGGATATTATCGGGTATTTGCAATGAACAATGGGCGCATAACAATATATTGTGTTAAAGCATATTGGTTCTAGCCGTTGACAAACAAGCCCGTTCCAAGTGTCTGTCTGTTATATTAGTGGTTTTGACTTTAGCTGAAACTATAGTTAAATCTGAATAGATTTTTTTTTTTAGTTGTCATAAGCGTGTAAAACGTTTAGGTATTTTTTAAATTAATCCTAGAGCTCCCGGTGGTGTCGCTTTTAATAATAATTATTATACCTACTTGTCTAACCGGTGATTAAAGCTATTACACAATTATTGATGTCAACGATCATACTATATGCCAGTACCCAGTAGCTGTCAATTGTCAACAGATACTGGATACATATTGTAAGTATACATGTAGAACTTGCGATATTAGGCCTAAGGAATTTAGACTTATTTTTTATTATTATTTGGTTTAACATAAATTAAATAAACATTTCTATTAAAAAAAATGACCAAAATCAAGTATAAATAATTGTAGATCAAGTTTTGCCTTAAATGCATATAATCGTTTAAAAATTTGTTTTGCATCCCTTTTGTCAATTACATTTTTCTTGTAGGTACTATCCTTTTTTAGAAACCCTAACGCTTGTTCACTATAATTCGGTCTGATCAGTAGGACCTGCTGTTTTATATTGTACACGGCTACTGACAATATTAGGTCATTATATTTTCTTAGTGTTATTTTTCAATGGTGTATATCTTTAAACCAGATACACTGTACAGAAATAGTAGTATTAAAAAAAATCTTACTGTCGTCCTCGAACGCGATTATAATTGGTTTGAAATTTTGGCCGTAAAAACAGGAAATCGTACACATATAATAATAATACTATATGGAACTGCGAGCACATGGCGGAAATTGACGTTATATCGTACAACAAACTGGTATGGCTGAGTAAATAATTTACACGCGACAGGTACTATGCAACACACACACACACATATAAATTAATATGTGTATATTTATATAATGTGTAAGCGGCTCGAGTAAAAGACACACATGGAAGTATGGAACTAGTTTTTTACCACCTCGCGTGCTGATGACATATAATCACGTCATCTAAAAAAAAGAAATAATATTAATTAATAACCAAAACGCATATTTTTAATGTTTCTTCTGAAAAAGTCAAAACAATTCCCTTTTTACTTGTGCATTACACAAGCAGTGTGGTTTCACGCCATACAGTATTATTGTGCGTCAAACCGTACACAAAGCTCTTAAAAAAAAAATGAATATAATTATTATGTAGGTACGTGATCCGAGGCTGTGCACCTTTCATCGTTTTAGCGCTGCCGACGGGTTACGCGCGATGACTTAAATACCGGTTGAGAAAAAAACATCAGTATGCTAATAAGTGTTTTTTTTTTTACTAAAAATGGAACAATACACTTTATATACTACAACGTTCAAGCTACTTGAAAAAACGGCTTTAAAATTTAAAAAAAAAACATTAAAAACAACTCCAAAATTTTGTTCTAAATTCACTGTTCAGGCTAGGTTAAAATACGAGATAAAACAAATTAGGGAATATATATTTTTATATATAATCAGTGGAAAATGTCCGATGTCACTACTGATAATTAATACTATAAGTTGTATTACGTACACTTAAATGTTAATCGCCAAAAAAAAGGATTGTGTTTTTTTTTTTTTTTGCAGTCGGCAGTCTAGGATTTTGGTTTTGTCTTTACTTACAGGTTTTAACTATCATCAAAATATAGTAAAAAAATGTTAAAACTATAAAGACAAATTGACCAACCTTAAATAATAATCAGTGTGTTTAACAAAAACATCAAACAATTGATAAAACCGAGACATTAAAGTGTATTCGCACCCAATGTCGGCCTTTATAAAACCGTCTAGCCTTTTATTTC